ACCCTAACTGGTAATTGGCTTTTGGCAGCTTTATTACAGCTTAGTCAATCTTGTAAAGAAGATAAATATAGTACAAAGCTTACAAAGATGGGTGGTATTAAAATCATTAAAAATTGCAATCCTAAATAATTTAATATCTGTACTGTGTATTTAACTAAGTGGTCTTTGAATTACTTACGTTACTGAGTTCTAAAGTACTGGAAAATTCCCAACATTTTCCAAGTTAAGCAAACATGGTAAACTAAGCATATAAAATCTCACTATTTCTTTTTCTGAGTAGTTGTTGGTTTTTGTTGTTTATTTGGTTGTTTGGTTTTGTTCTGTCCAGTGTACTGGAAGTCACTGGCTTCTGAACCAATTCCTATTGCATTATCTAAAATAAAGTTTTGCCTCCTTCTAGCCATCACAATTGCAAAATCTTAAAATAAATTGCTAAGAAATTGCAAGTGTGATCTACTTGTCACACTCACTTTCTAATTTCACAATGACCTATAATGACACGGTACAGTCAGATTACCAAAAAACATTAGGATTGGAACAGGAGCTCATTAGAAGCTCTTTATAAAGAAGGCAGTACTTTTACAGAATAACAAAGCAGCAGCTTTTTCTTTCAAAATAGCAAATAAAATTTTCTTCTGAGAAACTGATAAATATCTGCAATTTAAGTTTGTGTAATTCTCCCTGATTGACTCTAATGAGTCTCAATTTGTCTTGTAAACTGAATACTTAATTGCTGTGTTCAAAATGACGTCAGGTTATTACAGTGTTCAGTACATCTAAGCCAAAAAGTTATTAACTGGCTGATTTGCAAGCCTAAAGGGACTTCAGCATTTCTATTAGATAATACATTATTTATAATTTAGGGTTATGGAATTATCTCTGTCTGGCTCCCTATGGCTTATAAAATAAGCTGCCAGTTTATTTTTTTTTTCCACCACTGATCACTAGCAGCTTCCAGCAGAATTCAGTTGCTGCAAGCAAACTGAAAAAGTTGGGGAAATGCACAGATCACTGCTAAGCAAATTTTAAGAGATGGATGAGAAAAAGCATGTTTGCTTCTTCTGAAATTTGGGGGAATTCAGGCATGAAAAGCATAAAATCTCATTTTATGAAACTCTGCTTCACCTGGCACCTTGTTCTGCAAGGTCCTCCCTTTCATTTTCTTCTGACATTCCCCAGACATGTGGATATGTGCTGCTGAGGCTCATCCATCTGGGTGAGGAGGAGGAGTTTAAGCACCCAATACACTCCTTCCTTGCCAGATAGGTTATTCCTTCACCCATTAGTTTCTGGGGCAGCTTTCTAAGAGCTCAGATCACTTATCCCAACAGGATAAAATTCATTGCAAAACACAACACCCATTGTGTGACCCTTGCACTCTCCTCTTGGCAGGATCAAATAGGGACGAGGACTTCTCCTTCCCCTCTGAGCATCCAAACCACCAGACTGAGGGCTTTTTTCTGCACAGGCCTCCTCCAAGTCTCTCCTTGTGAAGCCGTGAAGAAAACTGGCTAGATTGCCTGAAGCGCGGAGGAACCCTTGGTTCTCATCTCTGCTACAAAACCTGCTTCAGCAATTTCTCCGGAGCCTTTTGTAGCAGCAGAAACCTCTTTGGGATGACTGGAAGAGTGTGACTGTGCCACATGACTAAGCAGTGCTCATTTACACTACCCAGGGCTGTCTGCACTCCTGTCAGGAAACTCATACCTGTTCTATCTCATAAGGCTTAAGAAGGGCTGCAGCAGAGCAGCAGGACATTCCTCCTTGCCACCTTGGATAGAAGCTGGATTTAAGACTCAGTCCAGCTATTGCATGAGGCATCTCTCTACAGTGCTGCTTATTTCACACCATGTCAGTAAAAGGAGCTCAGCTGCTTAAACAGTGTTTTGACAACTGTAAGGACCATACGTTCTATTACCTCTAAGAGCCATGATAATTTTAAGCATTTAGATTTCAGTTACTTATTCAGAGGTAGGGAGGATGAAATGGTTCTCTGCAGACAGCAAGTACATGGAAATCTTATTTAATTTGTGAGACTTAACATTGTCATCAGATTTCAAGCTGAATTTCACTTGCAGGGTGGATGGTGGCAGAGCTAAGTAAGAAAACATACCCCAATTTCCATCCTCTCTCATCTACCCAGACAGACCAGGCTAGTCATGCCATATTTCTGTTTAAGTGATTGTAGAGACCCCAGAATATTAACTACTTTAATAAATATCCATTTCTCCCATCTTTTTAAATTCAGTTTTTGAGATATTGTTCTTGGTCAATTGTGTGACAGCAAGTCTGTCAATCAGCCAGGCTGGCCAAAAACCAGGTGCCAGACACATAACAAATAAAGTATTAAAAGCTATCCATCAGTACACCTACCTTCTTTCAGATCTGCAGAGTTCCTTGCAGTCAGAATCCTTTAAAGTCATAGAAGGGGGAAAATGGGGAGAGAAAATAGGTGTTTATTTTGAGAATATTTTGTCAGTGAGATTCAAGAGATTTTTCTCTCTTACAATATCTGTGCCTTCAGTCACTCTGCAAGATTAAAAGCATGGTCCATTAATCCCTCAAGTCAATGAGGATAATGAAGGGAATCAAAGAGAAAACAACACAAGGCATTGGAAATAACAGGGTAGTTTTTGTCCCAGAGCTATTTTATTACAGTGGTTATCCTGCAGGAGGCTTCAGAAATGACAAACTGCTCACTAAATCCCACAGAAACAATGAGACTGAAATTTCTGAAGGTATCCAGGGGCTGAAGGATAAAAAATAAGTCAGGACCTGCTGTTATGCATAAAACCTCAGTAGGATATGAGTATTCAAAGCCTCAAACATCTAGGAGTCTGGGAGAAAACAAAGTGGTTCCCACTTTACACATCAGTCAGCCAAGCGTCCAGGTTAATAAATACTTGACAAATGCATACCCCAGACATTTAGCAAATATCTGCAAATTAGGGTTTATGAGGAGGGGCAGTCCCTTCACAATGTTCTTTGGAACACAAGCCCACAACAGCTGGCCCTGGGAACTGCTAGCACAAGTCATCTGCATATGTTCAGCCTTCGTAACCTAACCTATGAAATCTTGGGAAGGGAGATGGATCTGTGGAAGGCTGATGGGCTAAAATCACAGCAGTCAGGTGACATGACAGCTCTTCCAACCTCTGCTAGAAGTACACACAGCTTCTCTACCCTCAGCTGAGCACTTTGGATAGAGAGAAGTCCCTCCAAGGCTGACAGTGACAAGTTTTATTCAATACTTAGAAGAAGTAAGCGATGTAACAGCAGGTACCTGCTGGAATGCATCATGCTTGCTTACAGAGATTGTAATTGTTACAGGGTAATTGCTGTGCTTTTAATTCTTGCTAATTTGGTTTTGGCTCATCTCTCCTGTCTTGCATGCAGAGCACAGGTCTCTAACACAAACAATAATGTGAGTTACGGAAAAAAACCTAAACAAACAGCCACTTTTCTGGTAAATGAGCCATACTCAGAAAAGCATTTCTTGCAAAACACCACTATGGTATTCTCCAGCTTGCTTAAGAATTTTATAACACCTTAAAATTCTTATCAAATACAGTAATTTTTCCTTCTTTTGTTCTATAAAAGATTACTGACATATCAGTCCTTTACAGTAAGCATTGCAAATGAATGTCAGCACTCTGATTTTCATGCTGAGTGAATTGATGTATTGATTTACACCACCAATCTGTGGGCATGGTTGGGTTTGGCTGACCCTGAGGTCTATTTAATCCTCCTCAAACAGTCTTTGATGTTCCAGTGTACTTTGGGGTAAGGAATAATGAAAATCACAGCACCAACACAAAATAATCTCCCTATCTCCCACATCAGGTCTCACTTAGCCTGTATACAAAGCTCTTATTCTTCAAAGCATGAGAAATTTAAATCCTTTCTACAATTAATTATTTGTATCAGCTCTGGGTGATCTATGGCAACTTTGTAGAACAGGGAATATTTACGGGAACAGGAGGCATGCACTGACTCTTGTGAAGGAAGCTGCCATATCAGCTTGAGTCTGAATTTACAATAAGTACAACATTCGTCATTGATTGCTCCATTCCTGGGAAAGCAACTTGCAAAGTCCTGACAATTTCTCTTTGCATCATCAGGAATCAATAACACTGTTAGCAGCACCATTAACCTTCTGTGGCCTTGGCTTAGCAGTGCTCAGTGCCAGATCCAGAGCACTGAATCACACCAGAAATGAGGTGCCCAAATTCAAGGACCCATTCTGGTCAAAACCCCTCTTCCCAACCTGCTGCTCCGCAGCTGTAGATACCTAGCCTGTCCCACTTCGTAGGACTTGATTTGCAGTATATTGATATGCTGCATGGACACTGCAGTCCTGCCCCCACAATTCCGTCCAGCCAGCACCAGCTGGGGCAGTAGCACAGCCCTCTCCAGCCACTGAGGGTGTAGAGTAGGGACTCAGCCAGAGGCCTGTGCCACCTCCATTCCAGGCTGCAGAGGTAGCTTTCCCCATGCCTTGGGCAACTGCAATCAGCTGCTGCCACCACTAAGAACAAGAGTGATGGGGACAGGTCCCCTCTGCTTCTCCCATGTCCTGCTGAGATTGGCCGTGGCAGATCAGCTGTCTGATCTGATAGGGAGAGACAGACATGCCCTTAAGAACAAGATACATGTATCTCAGGAAACTGAGAAGCAGCTGAATTTCCCAATCTCCTATTCTGCCCTACTCAACACCCTACCATAGACTTGGCTCGAGCTGGGCTCCTGTGCAGCTGAGAAAGGCTCAGTGCAAGCCATAAAGAGAAAGAAAAAAACAAGAGAGAAAAGAATCTGCCCATGCCCCAGGAGAGGGGCTGTCCTTGGAGAAGGGACACAAACCCACACTCTAACCTAGATGCCAAGGGATGCTCAAGCATTTTTCATGAGAGAGCACATGGACTAAGGGTATAAACAAGCTAAATCCCTTTGTGGAGTTGAATAATGTTTTAAACCACCGAGACTGCACACACAACATTGTTGCTGGAATTTAGTTAATTTATTCAATGATGCAGAAAAGAATGCAGGACCCATCATCCCCAGGCTGTTCTGAATTGTCAAGGTTGACAGAATTTATATTGCACAAGGAAGTGAGTGATGCTTTTCAGAACTGAAGTGAGTTTTATGGCTCCCAATACACCTTTGTTTACTTCTTTTATTTAAACTGCCTTAATCCAACTCTTGAAATTGTACACATTCTGATGGAAAGCAACTGACAAGGCCCACAACTGGCTGAGAGCCATTGCTAGAAAGAACACGAAGGGCTGGACATGGTCTTTGGTCTGAAGTGGTGAGAACATTTATTCATCTGCTCTACTGGCTGCCCAGATACAGACCTTAAAGCATCCCTTAAATATATCACTTAAAACTTCATAATGTCTTGGCACATCTCTGTATAAAAATCAGCAGGTATCTTTAAAAAGACATTTGTATCTTCCCAGAAGTTAAGCAGATGGGTTTGCCAAAACCCAAGCACAGGTAATCATATACATAGTGTTTTGTTGCTACTACTCAGAAGTTCACCATAAAAAATTTATTATTTCATCTGTAATAAAAAGTATGTGGGTATGGGTTTTTTAAGGCAAACACCGTACTTCAGGTATGTCCCTTTAAATGGGACTTCAGAGTACATGAGGCTGTTTTACCAAGCTTTACTTTTTCTCAGTCAATTTCTCCTCAGTTGCTGGCATGTTGTCTCCCTCACTCATTCTGGATTATGTTCTTTTCTCCTCAAAGTTTTAAGACTTATCAGCTCCTTCACATTTCTTGCATTTGAAAATGAGGCCAAAAAATGCATGGAATCCATACTATCTACTCTGCTGCAGAGTTTGGTCATTTGTGACTCGTGCGTCTCTGCTGACTCCCTTTGGCAAGAGTCAAAGCTTTATCTCTGACTGAGAAACAGGACTGAGGGATTAAAGCAACTGCAGAAAAAACAGGCAAACACAACAATCAGTCGCTTGACAGACCATAATAATTTCTTGGCTGTTAAAATAAATATCTGAGTTTCAAGCAAGGCCAAAGAAATTGACAGCATTCTGGAATGGAAAGGTAACACAGCATTAAATGAAAGGTGATAGAGAAATACGGACAGTCAAAAATGAGAGTAAATGGTTTCTGACCCCCTCAAAATAACAAATTTGTTTCTAATACTGCATTTTAAGTTTTCACAGTAACATTATTCTAATAAACAGATGGCTCCTTGAGCCATAATTGTCTTTGAGACACACAAATCAACACAGCACTTTGGGGAAGACAATCATCAAAATTTGGTTCCCTTTAGAAACATCCACCTTTGTGGCATGTTACTCATCATTATGGGGTAGAGACACACTATTGCCAACATCTGTACTTTTTACTGAAAATCCAGTAGTATTTATTGTTTCATGTATAAAAAGATGTTTCTTGGAACAAAGTGATTATGTGACAATCTTGTTTTTATATACAAGTGTAGGCACTCACAAGTAGTAATACTGAATGCTCAAACACAACTAAAAATTAGTAACAACATATTTCTGGGGCCTAACATTCTCCTGTACTAACATAAATGTTCTAGAATTGGTTGTTCCTCAAGAATATAGAGCTACTGTATAGAGCTACTGTCATGAAAATAACCAAAGATCAGGTAAGATACAAATATAGTTTCCTTGAGATCTTTAAGGTAGAAAAGCCCAAACTTGGAGAATGTTATTACTTCACTAAGAAGTTATGCAAAAGTTGTCTTTGCTCCACTGTGATCCCTCAGTGAGGAAAGGTTCTACACTTCAGAGGATATGGTCTCTGTGCTGCACTTCTGGAGAGCAATTATGCAAGGCAGTGGCAAATGTATCTGGAAATGGACCTCCAGATAGGTCTCAAGAGTTTTTACTGTTTACGGTATTTCCCTCTCAAGAACTTGTCACCTCATCTCAGAAAGATAATAATTCTTTCAATACAAAGAACTAAGTTCCCTGACTCACTGGTAAAAACCAAAAAGCAGCTGAAGTGGCAGATAACTGCATGTCAAACTGAGAAGTCACAGTTCTCTTCTGAACATTGATTGCAAACCATAAGCAAGACAAAAAATCCAAACCACACAGTAGATAAAATACTGATCCCATCATGTGGACCACTCTCCTTTAATAGAAAAGGAACTAAAAGAACTGTGTTTTCCAGCAGAAATCTTCACTGTAGGCCTGTGATATGGACAGGGTCTTGTAATATTACATGAGTGTGGGTTTTGTTGCTGTTGAAAAAGCTTTTCAAACTCTTATGGCTTCATTTGTGATCTTGGACCTCTGAAGGATAATAGGTTGGGAGAGTATCATTGCAAACCGACAGCTCTGAAGTTCCAAGCTTCAAGTGAGCCTGCATTGGGTTGGATCCATCCTCCAGCACCGTACAGTTTACCAGCTGCAGTTCTTTGGTGAAGCAGAATTCAATCTGGCCAATTGTTTGTGCTTTTTCACCCTAGAAACATGAAGGGTAAGATCAGCCTCATGGGAAGAAGAAAATAAATCAATTATTCAGGTAAATTTTCCTATCTATACAATACAGTAGTGATCATTTGTGCATTTACCTGATGAAAAATGCAAGGAAAAGTACAAGAGGCATCCACTCTGAACAGCTGATAGTACATACTGTTACTCAGTACCAATCTGAGACTTGTCTAACTAGTAAGCCTTGTTGTGAAATGCTGTGACATATTATCCTGGCCTTTACTCATCTACACAATGATGAGCTCTGGCTGAACTCTGTGAATACTGAAGGGCACATGTGACCAGAAAGATACTTTTCACCAACTCTTCATAGCAGGACAGGAATTGAGGCAAATAAAATTCTCCACACATGAGAAGAGAAACTAAATTTTATAATAGCTTTTACACAAAATACAGAAGCAAGGTGAGAGAAGGAGCAGAAGTGTCATTTTTGTACTACAAAAGGAAGAAAAATGACTATGAATAAAGCAGGCAGGCATGGAGGCCTTTCATGTGGCAAAAAGATAACAGGAAAATCCCCCTCCAATGCTCAGGTCTAACAAAATGTGGAAAAAAAAGGTTTTGAAACAATTAAGCAGGACAAAAAGATATGTACAAGACAAAACTAACTGAGGCGAGGGTTTTTTTGTTTGTTTGGAATTTGTGTTCTTGGAGAATTTATTTTGGGGTTTTTTTTAAGAAACGTAAGAACAGAGAGTGTGTCTAATCTATTTCAAACATTGAAGTACCTCCATCATGCACTTCAGGCATGGACAAGTCTAGAACTCTGAAAAAGGCCTATCTTCAAATAACTGAGATGTACTTTTTCATTTCTATTACCCAATACCTTCACCTGGTTAAGTACAGGAGACCCAAGTTGTACATTACTTTCATATAATTGGAACAGTATCCCAAGTGTACTAAAAGCAATGGCAGAACTACAGTGAACAGAGCTAGAAACTGGGGTTTGTGTTAGCTCAGTATTTCTTTAATGTCAAAAGGTGGGGGAGTATCCAATCCACATTCAACTAAAATCCCTTTGTTCCTTAAAGTAACTTATAAACACATATTAAAAATATTGTAACCTACAGATTTTTTTCATGTTAAAAAACATATGAGTAGAAAAACCTCAGAGCATTACTAAAGCAAGAGTTGAAAACACACTACAATAGCAACGGTATCTAGCAGGACTTCATAAATTGTTGCCTGCGTATGGGCAGCAACTCTGCCAAGAGTTCTGCAGTAAATCACCTTGAACAAGCTGAGATAAGAAGGAAACACTAATAACAGTGAAAGCTAGCCTTGTGGGTTTTGTTTCTTGCTCTATTTTTCTATAAGAGCAGAGTAACCTCACTGAGAAAAAGAAGAAAAAAAGAGCTCTACAACCTACACAACCTTCTGAACTGAACTGTTCAGAACACTATTTTGTTCCTTCAAAGGCACTTTTGGTTCAGATATGGTGACCTATACTTTACAGAACACTGTGTACCACCTCCTCTACTGCATCATGATGCACAGCACAATTACTGGCAAGGAAAAGCAAAAAGACATAGAAATTTGACACCTGATTGTTCCAGAGAGCCCATACCTAAAGAGGTCACTGTTGTCTTTCCTTTTGAACCAATCTCAGAGAGAAGCTTCTGAGTTGCTTTATTTCAGAAGGATTCTGACAGCAGCACCCTCACCAAGGCTGACATTCACTAACTTCATTCAGCTCACTCTTATTGGTTTTAGTAATCTGCCATGCAGCAACTAAACTTTAGCAGGCATGGTGGAAAGTGCCCAGCTACAGCAATACCTCCAGCAGGGTGGTTACAGCAGTCATGCAAGAGATGCAGGTATAAATATTTTAAGACAAAGAAACCTTTAAAACCCAAGTCCAAGAATTATACAATACCTATATGCAAACAGCTGTATACACAAAGAACACCTAGACCTAAGTTTCACCCTACTGAAGATTTTTCACTCTATTTTTGATACTTTTTTAAAAAAACGTAAATTATTTTTTAGTTTGTTTTTTTTTTCCATTTTGGGAAGTCAGGGGAGTTTTTACCTCTTCTGGAGGACAGCATTGGATCTTTGGTGTTACACCATAAAATCTTGTGAGAGCTTCCTTTATAGCAGTCATCTGAAAAATTAAAAAGCTTATAGAGACTAATAGGTCACAAGCACATCCTCTAACAGTTCCCACACTGGCTAAGCTCTCAAAAACTTTAATAAAAAGCACAATCCTAAAGAACTATAAAATTTCAAAAGATCATTTGTTCTACAGAAATTAGTTGACTACTACTGAAAAAAAAAAGTCCATGCACATGATTTTGTTTTATTAAAGACTGCCTCTCACCTTGTAATATGAACTGCTCGGCTTTATCCCAGCTTTCAAGAGACAACTGAAACAAAGAGAAAACATTTTTCCATATTTCCTGTATGCAAACATACCTTCACAATGATTAGGTAAAACAGATCTTAAGAACCTGTCAAGCATTACAGTGATGGGAGCAAGGGCAACTTGTCTTTCATTCTTTGCCAGCTAGGAAAGGCCATTTTCTGAAAGGACACTTCCCATATAACCTGGCAAAGTCAGGAAGAACCCTTTCCCACACCTTAATCTGAGGAACTAGGATAGTTCAGTCTTCAGGCACAGCTAAGGGAAAGGGAGTTTCAGAGTGCTCTGTTCAGTGCCAGGTAGAGCATGCAATTTAATTGCTTCCTTTCCCCTGCCTTGAATCATTCCCCTGTGCTTCTGCCACCGCAGAGGGCACAGGGGCAGACTTGTGAGGGTGCTCCAGGCATCCTCATATTCAAACACAGGATGGGCTTCCTGTGGTGGGAGACACACAGCACACTGGGAGAGGGATACAGCATGTCAATCAGAATCAGTGTTACTTTCAGGGCAGAAACTGTTCCTAATAATTACGTTTTTGAAGATGAAAAGCTGGTCACATGAGAGAAATGAGGCAGTCCTCAAGAACCTGTAGCCTGTGTACCCCTTCGTTTAGGCTCAGTGCTGAGAGGAGTTCACATTTCCAAGCTGACAAGACTCAGGACCTAACACATGATGAGTCTGTGAGTCCCAGCTTCTTCTGTAAAAAGTGGGAATGGTGAGTATCTTGCAGTGTATGGATTAATAAATGCTGATAATGCTCAACCCTTCCCTTCCAAGGTCAGTTTTGGCACAAGGAAGATTTTATCCAGATGACTAAAGGACAAGCTGGTTTTCACTGTCATTTTACACTGGATATAAGGAGGCCAATAAAATAGATGATGTTCTGTTAATTCTTACAGAAGGCTGCATGATGTTCTCTTTTTAATAATTTGATTTGTGGAAACAATTTTTTTAATCACTGGCATTTTTTGTCTTTTAAGTAGAAATTATATACAATGAGAACATTTTCAGTCTTTTTTCTCTTCAGTAAAGATAAAATTAATTATACTTATTTTCACAACAGATAATAAGCTTTGAGCAATTAATTTCAACATGCTTCAGTCTCTATTCTTTTGCAGTGTTGCATATGCTGATACAGAGTCACATCATTGGTCACTGTGCTGTCTGTAAATGTTTTAGTCACACCATCACAGCTACTTAGGCAATTGACTTAGACATCATTAATTTTAACATTACATATGACATGCTCAAACACTGCGAAAACCCTCTCAGAAAAATCTGCTATGGTTTTAAAAGACATCTTCAAAACCAAGGTGGGAAGGAAGAAAGACTTATTTTCTTTGTGCATATGGAAAATAAATGATACTTTGTCTAGGAGATTGATTGGACAGGATACTGGCAAAGCATAAACAGGATTAGCTGTTTTGTGATTTTTTGGGGGTGTTTTAAACACCCCCAAAATTGAGTTTTTTAAAGGTATGTTTCATTGTATGAAACTATTTCCTCTCTCAAATATTGTCCTCCCATGGGCAACAAATCTAAGTCAAACATCCTCTCACCCATACCAAGCACTGATCAGGAAAGGACTCCAACCTTCTGGCATTCAGCTGCAGCCAGAACACAGGGATACAGCACTTGGACAAGACTTTGAATCTGGAATGGCCAGTGCTTTGGAACAGTAAGGAGAAATCAGCCCCTAGGACAAAGCAAGAGTGCCACATCGGGGCTGTCACAAAGAACAGCAGAGGACTGCCTGCAGTGACTGAACCCTTCACAACCCTTCCTGCTGTTGCTTCTCAGCCTTTTCCCACAACGTCCTGCATGATTTTGCCTGCAGCTTGTCCTTTCCCATGAGCACTTATAAACAAGTGCTTGGGGCTCACCACAACCCGGAAGTTTGGATGGGTTTGTCACTTGATTTAGAACTTTACAGGTAGCATAGCTTTTGGTATCAAAATACAGCCTGCAGAGCTGCTCAAAAATTTAGTGGCTCACACTATCCAGAAGGATGCTGGTAAGAATGATGATGGCTTTTCTGATGAAGTGACCAAAGACTGCTTCTCAGGGTAAAAACTCTTCCTATGGATTTCAGTACTAAAAATAATTTATGCTAATTCTCATTTCCTCTCTACCACCAGATTTTTAGACTTCCATTTGAGGTTAGATCTGAAACCTTTAGGAACTGTTTGAAATAAAAGCCAGATCATCGAGTTCATTTACGTACCCATTGAGATCAACATGCTGGTAGAGTTCTATGGCTTTACCAAAGTATTTTTTCTGAGAATTAAGGACCTCAAGTGTGGCTGCACAAGTGCCATGTTTGTCCCACTCATGTTTCCTACAGGAGAAAAGCAAAATGCAAATTTTAGAACACATTATTGGCAGATATATGTGCTGTACAAGCTAGCCATTGTACTTAAATCAAGTATCCAAAAGGCTACACAAGTGGAGTAGAACACCACATTCAAATTTATCACACATATAAAAAGTAAACCCAAGCAAGATCACTCCAACCATTTAAATTACAGCAACATCTACATATTCATGAAGTAAATACATATCACGCTCTTATAATACAATGCCCTCTCAGTGTACAAAGACGTTTGGAGGTCAGATTGAAAAAAAATTGCCTAGAAAATTACTATCTCCAGGCTTTTTGTAAGTTTTAGTGGAACCTTTTGTGTTAAATGCACTTTTAAAGCATTAATTTTTTTCTGAACCCCAAAGGATTAAGACTTATTTTGGGTCAAACAGTGTAACTGCACAAGCTGCTAAGATTTAAGCATCAGCATGTATGCTGGCCTGTGGCAGAATTTTCATATGCCTCCTCTCAAGTCTTGTTTCTAGTCCACTATCCATTCTCCTAAGAGCAAGGAACAGAGAGCAAAAGAAATTCTTGCAGTGTACAGCAGAAAAACTCAAACAGGACAAAAACCTGAAAAAAGACAAAAATGTTTCTATCAATTCTAAAGTCCATTGAAAGACTAAGCAGCATAATCTTTAGTGACACTGCCTGCGGATGTCTTTTTTTTAATTCTTTTCAAATTTTCACAATCCACTTGTACTATACAGGTATCGATTCAGCAGATGTACATGAAGATTATCTAATCACAAACTCCTACCATCACAGCATCCTGTGACCATATGATTCCTTAAGTACATTTCAAAAAGCAGAAAAGGACAACTATTATTCACTTGAAAGCCTACCTTGGATTTGTTGATTCATACTAAAAACTTCAGTTTTTTCTTAAGAAATTAAAACACTTTAAAAGAAATTATGTTTGGATCTAGAGAAATAGAGCACTACTTCTGAATAGAAAATTAATAAAGCAACTGTGGTGTCAAGAGATTTGAGGCAGGGGAGAAGATACTTTACTGTAAGATTTTCACTCTATCTTCCCAAATTTAGCCTTGTAGAGAGTTCTCATCTTGGCTGCAGCAACTAACACAGGTGCATGTCAAATGAATTGTTTATTCCCTGGAAGAGTCCAGTTTCCATGGGTGAATTTCTCCACAAGGGATTTTAAATTACTAATGAGAAAAAACATCACACTTTTAAAGTAAACAGAAGCTCTTTTAGGGGTAAACTTAGCAAGAAATATAATTAGGTTGGATCAGAAGTAGGTAACAGTCAGATCCAAAGGGCTACTAAAACAGCAGCAAGCTGGAGGCAAGGCTTTGCAGGTAGGATGACAATTTTAGTTCAGAGAATGTATGCATGCATGTCTGTAAAACTGGTGGTGATGTACCTGCCTTTTGAAGGCCTTCAGTAGTACCTATATTTAAGCGTCCTGCTCTTTCTAAAAAGAAGGCAGAAATAGAGGGCCAAAGACCTGCTGGCATTCAAGAAGACTTTTACTGCTACCATGGAACTGCTATTGGAGTGGTTTGGTGCAGTCTGCACTGACAGTGCCCGTGCAACATCATCTGCAGCAAGCCAAGAATGCACCAGGTCCACCAGAACGGACAGAGACTTTAGTCTCCCCAAAATATTTACCAACACTTTACGAGGATACAATGTCACTTTATTTTGCAGTACAGCCACGTCAAAAGAAAAAAAAATACTGAAAACAGCTGCAGGTGTTCATCAAGGCCTCCATCCTTCTGCACCTCTAGCACCCATGAGCTTGGTGGTAGCACAGAGCTGCTCTCGGTAACTTCACTGAACAGAGAAGTGGCTACCATGCACAGTGCACTCTCTTTTTCTATTTTCTCTTCTATGAGGAAGCCCAAAAGGAAAGCTCTCTCAAGACCAGCAACACAGTGAAACTAGCTAGAGAAAGAGATCTTGGAAGCTGCTCTTGCAGCTAGCCGTGATATCCCAGGAATGCTACTGCTACTCAGATTTAATGTGTCAACAACAGCTGTTTCTCCTTCCTGGGGACAAAGGAAGGAAACATTCTCTCACTAAGTTTCATTTCTCTAAATCTTCTGCTAAGCCCTCTCTTCAACAGCTGTATTTTGTAAGAGAGCAGATCTATACTGTAAATGAGACTGGCAAGACACACTGCTTCAGTGGCCTCCTGGACACTTTTCTCATGTACCTAAAGAACTACTCAGACTTTTATGAAATAATATCCAAAATGTTTTTTAGGGCTTTGTTGTACTCACCAGAACTGGGTGCGATTCAGAGATGAATGAAGAACATCAGGCCAGTAATGTCTCATGTCTGACATAAGATCCTAAAAATACCAAAATTAATAAATGCACCTTCAGCATTGAAAAGCTATTTTTACAATCTACATATATTGATAGTTTTTTTACAACTGAAGCCTCATCTTTCAGTGTCCATAACTGAAACAATAAGTTGAAGAAAAATAAAAGGTCTTTTTCCCCCAAATTCTGAAAATGCTGTTGTTGGAACAGGTATACCTACCAAAATATCTGAACATACAAATACTGACACACTGCCTCAAAGCTTTCCTTCAACTTTCCCTGCAGAAGCAGTTCAATCATGCAGTGTTTCACATTTGCCAGCTCAAGTCTCTTATCCCTGTCTATAACATATCAAGGAATTTTGTTGAATTAAACATGTTGGGGTTTTTTTTAAGTAGAAAAAGAAGAAAAAAGGACTAATGACCTAGGAGAAAACACACAAAACAGTACTCTTACTTTGTTCTGATTTTGCAGTAGAAAATGTGAAGAGGGAACACCAACTTACTGAATCTCTTTCTTTTCACAGGTACTTTTTGCCACTGCAGATCCATCACCTATGCGGTGGTGAACCTCTAGATTTTATTAAGGAGGATGTGGCTGAATGAGCCAAACTGCATGTTCACAAAATCAAGTAGGTACAGCTGCTAATGATTACAAGGATGGCAACTTCAAGTAGTACCAGAAGCACTAAAAGAATTTCTGGAGTCCTTAAAAAACTATACCCCTCAGTAAACATTAAGAGTGATATTATGAACTGCAAATTTTGCATATAGGATGTGCAAAAGTAATTGCACTTAGCTCTGCCTGGTATGTCTGTTTTTGTTTCAAATACCTTGATCTCAGTAACATTGAAATGCCATGTCTTGTTACAGTCTTCAGCTCTGTCAGGCCTAGGGAAGCAAAATAAAATTGAAAAAAGACGTCTCCTAACTCACTACTGGTAACTAACGTATCATTATCCTGAATTTTATGTATGCATGATTATAGCTGGAGATCTTACTTAAAAATGCAAGTAAACCATAAGAACCTAGAGTGGTTTAGAAATAAAACCTTCAAGATATTAATTATGGCCAAAAGATTTCTCATGAAGATTCAAAAGATGGCCAAAAGATTTTGTCATGATTTCTTTGTTTGGCCCTTTCGTCCCTTTCATTCTATGTAAAAGTTATTTCAGTGACAGTAACTTGGAAGGGTCTTGCACATGATGTCACTGGTGTCACTATTGACAGTGACCTCCTAAATTGCTGCCCCATCTGATGATTCTGCAAGTATCACCAAGACACTCTCATGGAATCAATTCATAATGATGTTCACTTTTCCAGGAAGCATAGCTTAAACTCCTGAACTGATTTTAACCTGTATTTGTCAGGAAAATTTTTTAATTGCTGCCATTGGCATCAATTCCAGTGAGTTGATTCCTTTGAAGCAAATTATTTTTCTTGTACTTTTGCAATATTTGTGTGGAGATAAGATACTTAAAGCCACAAGCAGTCATGAGATATTAACAAATTCTTTTTTCTCAGAGAGACAAAAGAAAAGAAGGGAAACAATAGTTCCCTTTGTGCTTGAGACTATTTCTGCTCTTATGAGGATGTGCGTAAATAAAATGCTTATGTGGCCAGAGGATTTCAACAAGTCATGAGATACAAAAGTATATTTCAGTTTTATGTCAAACCATAAGGTTTTAATTTTGTTTCAATCATAAGAACAGACAGATTAAAATCTCCAAAAAAACCCCACAAAAGCCAACCAAAAAAATAAAACCCCACAAAAAAAACCCCAACAAAACACACACACACAAAAAAAAACCCCAAACAAACAAACCCCCACCTAACAAAACCAAATAACTAAACATCCTGGTAAAAAATTTGCTTTTTCCTTTCCATGCTGAAATAAAAACACTCTATGATCATACCATAATCCATGGATTGTCCAGTACTTTGGTGGGTCATGACAATCATTAGCATTCATCTGTAGGAAACAAAAACACAGAGTATTTGCTGCACGTATCTAGGAGTAAAGGTTTAAAGGCAAAAGTAAAACCTCATTCAGTAAAGTAAAAACAGTTTAAAGGCAAAAGTAAAACCTGAGGTTCTACTGTGGCGTGCCAACTTTTCCTTGCCAATCAGGAACTGGTGAACTCCACTTACACAAAGCTGTCATGGATTATGCCACTTAGGGACCCACTGGCATTAAAATTTTGAAGCAGATCAGTAAAATCTGAACAGACAGCGTAAAGAGAAGACAAAAGGAGAGGTTCTGATGTAACAGAAAGTAGCCTGATCTATACTAAATGAACAGAACTTTATCTGCATTTATAGTACTCCAGGTGATAGCTCTCTGTATTTTTCTCATTACCACATCTTTTCAAAGACTGCAGAGGCATTACAGTAAAAACATGCAAAATAAACTATAATATTGGACAAGGACAAAATCCTCTTTAAGCATCAAGACTAGTTTTATCATTGTATTGAAAATGAAAAATACAAAGAAGAGATTAAATATATTGCTTATTCTGCATAAAAAAAACCACTTATGCTTTAAGGATTTTGACTTGAGGGACAAGGGAATGGAGAGAAAATAAAAGCCTAAATACCTTCCTACAAAAACAGAAAAATAGAGCCTCCAATAAAAATTGTTGATAATACAGGAGTAATAGCCTACACTTGAATTACTGTTTAGAGCAGAGACATATGCCTGAAAAGAACAAAATAAAAAATTCCATGTCACACATCAGAGAATACCATTACTGTAGTTTCCCTGATTATTCTTCTTAGGAACTACAGGTCATTCAAGTAAACACTTTTTGCCATTAACTAACAACTTCCCCAGACGTTATTTTCCCACAATAATAGCTTCCCTTTTTGGCTCTTCATTCTGTCCTAATTATGCCACAATGCCTTTTACATGATGCCAGTTCAAGAGCAGAGCGTAGAGAGGAGCAGAGACAGGCCTCTAATCTCACTAATTGCCTTCCACATGCCAGAGGACAGTGGCAGCAAATCTGCAACTTCTGCAAGACTTTCTTATTCTGTGTCCATTTCCTTCCTCTCCCCTCTTGCCACCAGTAATACAAGCAATTACACCCAGCAAAAGCTTTGTTTCCTGAAAGGAATATTTTGAACAAACACACACTGAAAATGCCTAAACAATATTGCTCTGTCATGACACAAGCTCTGTAGACCTGGAGGGGTTTGGCTATCTAGCCCAAAGTACAGCAAATTAATAGTCAACAGCTTCCTCAACTGAGGTGGCAACAAAAATAGTGCAATTGTGCTCCTTATTCAGTGTTTAACTGCAGTTCTCAGACATGCTAATGGAACACCCAGGCATTTCAGACTTGAAATAATGGCACTTAGTTACCCTGTGCCCAGTAGAACTGGGAGGTCAACGCAACCTACAACATGTTAGTTCACACTCTGCATGCCTTGGCCAGCTTCATTCAATCTCTTCTTCATTCTAGCCTTAGTATCTTTCCAATGTTCATTTTAAATCAATATAATAAAAAATGAAAATGCTGGTCTGCAAAGCTGGATACCCCTGCTTACTAGTGCAAAACCACTTTTTGTTAGCCTTCCTGTTTATCACAGACTGATTGCTGGAAGATTAATTCAATCTCTAGAGAGTGACTGACTAGAAAGAGAGGTACAAATATTTATTTTCAAGTGAGCACTGGACTCCAGAAAGTCCTACATACCTAGATTATTTGAAAAAGAAGCACTGTTTTCTCCTGTTTTAAAGCAATCTGATAATCAAACCAATCCAAATGAACCATATATGACCTATAAAACTGAGCGAAGGGCTGGTGAGGCTGTAGAGTACCCACCATGCTGAGAGGGAACATTACAGCAGAGGGATTAGCCTATTTGTAACAGCAAATCATTGCACAAACAGCACGTGCCAGAAGCATGGAAGCTTTTATCATCTTTGAAATGCCAAAAAGTGAAATACCATTGACTTGTCCCAGAAGTGCCACCTGTTGAGCTGCCCAAGTTATAAATCCCTTGGTACAGCAGCTATTATTAAAGGCAAGAGTACTGCTACTGGGTCACATACAGATACACCAAATTCAAATAAAAAATCAGCTTCTGGGAAGTGAAATATTTACTCCTGTTCTCCCTTCCAACTACCTTTCTTCAGTAGGTCATCTCTTAATTAAGAGAAATTATAAGTTATTTTGTAATGAAACATGGCAACTGCAAAGAAAAATTCTTACTTTTCAAACTGTGGAGAGAGTTCACCTCTTCAACTTCTCCTCAAACAGTGTGCAATTACTCCCCTTCCTCCTTCAGTCACTTTAATTCTTTCTGTATTATGTGACTACTTCTATTTTTATCAAAAAATAAGGAAAACTAATATTTCTATTCTTCCTTTAAGCCTCTGCTATAAAATCATTGCCAAAGCCTGAACTTCAGAAAATTATCTCATATCGAAAAATAAAAATTAAAAAAAAAAATCATCTGTTTCTTAACACAACATTCAAACTTGAATTCAAGCTGTTCTGTTCATTGCTCTATTCTATTGTCCTTTTTTTGACTCTTTCCTTTAATGAGCACACATGTGAAGTAATAGGCAGATGACAGCAGGTACCATTTCTTTATTTTTCTTTATTGTCCTCCCCATTCCTAACTGAGAAAGAAATAAATAACTTACAAACTTGCACTGGATTTTCCATATTTCACACACACACACAAAAAAAACCCCAACCACATAGAAAATTTCATCTTTTTGCAATCTCCAGGATGCAAAAGCTGAAATAATACTTCTCTTTTTAAGTTCTGGAATAAGAGGTTTTCAGAACTCCATAAAAAGGGAGTAGGAAAGTCCCTCTTCTTGCCTTTGAGTTGCTTTTAAGTCACATGCACTTGTTACTGAAAAGTGTGACATGAATTAGCCACAGTCACAATTTTTTAAGGGAACATGAAATTCATAGTCACTTGAGGTCTGTGAATCTAGCTTAGATATCTTTGCATAAGACGTAATGACCTTAGGCCAACTATATGGTATTGGAATTTCTAATCACATTAGAAGGAAGAAACTCTTCCTCCTTCACCCTTTTCATTGTAGTAGTCAGTAATTAGGTGCTGGGGTAATCACTGCTTCCATGATATCACTTTATTTTAATGTTAGTTTGGAAGATATGGTTACGAAACACTTTCCAATTTAATTGTGCCGAACACACTCACTATTAAAAAGCATCAGCTGAACACTAACTTTTTAAAGCCCAGGAAAAGATCAGACAGATGTATTCTCAAATTTCTGGCATGCTGATCTGGGCCCTCTAAATTTTAAAGAAGACCTTTTGGGCCTTCAAAGGTCTAAAAAACTTTTCAAGCAAAAGATCTGCAAAACAGGTAGGAGTTAAAATGAAGCTCATCCACACACCACAAGAACACACTGTGTATCAAAGTCTATAATCAGATTCCTTTGTATAGGAGACATAAACTAAGAAGTAATTTCAGAAAAAAAAGTATCTCACAGCTTTTTGCCATAAATGATAGAATGACTTTTGCTGTTTCTTTCACAGCTTTTTCCTTTCAACATAATGTCAAGAGTTTTAAACTGAATAATAACATTATAAATATTTACACCCTGAAAAACACCAGTTATCATATATAAATGCACCAAACACACAGAAGAATCTACCTACTTAAAAATACTTGAATTAATTCCTACATTTAGGAATTCCTCTTATATAAAAGAAGAAAGCTGTTATAGCAGTACAGTTGAAACCTTGTTTCTTCATATGACTCAGTGATGAGAAACTAGGGAAAAAAGTCAATATGATTTTAATATCCCTTTTTCTGCACATCTTTGAATGCATCTGTCCACCTCTTATTACAGAATATCATAAGAAATCAACAAAGTGCAAGGATGCCTACATTTTCTGATGTTCAATATCTTCAGTAATTCACTACAACTTCCCTAGATTATGTGAATTATTTGTCAATATCAGGTGCACTACCGTGGAATTCAGAGAGTAACCAGCATAAATACACAGTGGGAAAACTGGTTGGTAGAGGCTTGTTTTTTAAATTTTGGGTTGTTTCACTTTATTTTTTCCCAACTGTCCTCATGTCATTCATGCAAGCAAGGGTTTGCACTGTTACTGACTCTGAACACTGAATCATGCTACAAACTCATCAACACCAACGTATCTGCTTCAAGTCAGTAACAGTGATGTTTATTCAACAGAAAATCAGACACAAATGGCATCAAATCTTTCCTTATTTCCACACAAAAACAGGCAAACAAAAAAACAGAACAGTTATCTCAGTCATACACATCTGACTTTTGTTATTGATATTACCCTCCACATTCACTTGGCTGAACCTGAAGCTACTGTATTATCTACAAGGTTCTTCTACCTTGTGTCAGTAAATCTGATCATATTTTTAACTTAGTTGTATAGGAAGAGACCTTTGAGTACTTCCAGTATAGGAAAAGTATTCTACTTATCACATGGTAGTAGATACTTAATAGCAATAGTACCTGTCTTAGCTGTGCTTTGACAGAATAGATGTTGGAAGGTTGGGTTCGTACCCCTCAAATACAGCAAAAAATGCAGAAATAATCAGAGACACCTGCCACAACACGTTTATAGCTCTCTTTCCTGACTGAATCAATATTTGATGATATCATAGAAAATACTGGAGCCATAATTACAAAGCTAAAAACCTTACTTGTTGTGGTGTGTTGTTCATTTTTCTTTGAAGTTGCTTTGTTCTGTTACCCCTATTTGTAATGATGGTTCAGTCTGGGATTTCCCCTCCTTCCCCAGGTTTGCTCCTCCCCAGTATAAGAGTTTTGTCAGTCTATTGTCTCCTCCCTTGTTCCCCTGGATACTCCTGTTAACCCCTCCCTGAGTTCTGTCTGTCACCCACTGGCTCCTCCCCTTATTTGAGAAAGTTCTTCTCCCTGCAGTGGGTGATTGGGTCTGGAACAAGAGCTCCTCCCTATGTCCTTCCCTATTGGCTAGCTGGCATGTCTTATGATTTTGCTTCCTCCTAAGTTTCCCCTTATTGGTTATTGTATAGTCCCCACCTGAATGTTCCACCCCGTTTATATACTGTTGCAATCATTGTTCTGGGTCTTTTCTCAGCTGGCTCCCCTGGAGACAATAAACTTCTGGACTTTGCCCCCGGGAAGAGTCCCTCTTTTCTTACTTTGCCTTCCTGCTGCCCACCACTGCCTCCTGCTGAGGCGCTCCCCGGATGCTCCCGGCGCATCTGGGCAGTGTCCCCCCGGCTGTCAGCTGCTGTGCCACAGCTCAGCTGGTGCGGCCTCCTCCCCTGGCCAGGGGAGTAGAGAGAATTCAGACAGCAGCGCGGCACTTACTGTGCAGCAGATAGTTCAAATACTGAACTGCCATCAGCCAAACAAGGCAGACAAGACTTCCTACAGAGTCTGATGAAAGTCTAGGATTAAGTTTATAACTAATAAAATGCCACAAATTCTGTAACAAGCTTAGTGTACAGTACACCCTACACTGACAACTCTATCTGTAACTCACCACAATCCTTCCTGTTATGGCTGCTCTGCATTGCAAGGGAAATAGCAAAAGCTGCATTAAAATCAGGAAAAGCCTTTATAAAGGCATAACCAAGATTAAATATTTAATGGGCTTTATTCAGTCTATTTTCACACATTTATTATTCAAAGCTACCTTTTGTAGGATAAAAGAGAAACACAAAAATCTCACCTTACATACAGTCACTGGCCAATGATGAGCAAAATACAACTTTTTCCAGTCATGAGGGTGGATGTCACTGGAGAGAAACAGACAAATTTGTTTTTCTTCAAGTATTTTTAAAAAGCGGAACACCTTCAGGCACACACTCCAAACTATCGATTCGGAGAGAAACAACATATAAGGAAACATGCTAATATCTCCATTGTTAAACAAATTCTCCTTCTGGCACCCCATCTCCCTATGCTTCCTATTTCTTAAGTACGCAGAGGAGAAAAAAACCCTCAAAAATTTGTTCAAGAAGTGTTGGAAGCCTGTATCACATCATTTCTATACAGGTCTTTTCCAACAGTTTTGAGCAGACCTATTCTGGTTAAGTAGACGTAAATAAAAAACCTGTTGCACCAGACACTACAGCAGATCTATTTAGTTATTAAGCAACCAGATAAAGTAACTAAATAGAACCAAAAAATAAACAGAATTGTGAATTATTTAAATTGACAACATTATGTGCAGAACTGTCAAAACAAATTGTTATTCTCTGGAAGCTAATGGCAACTTGTCAGTCATTAGTTCTTGCTAGAGGATGTATTACCAAAAGAAAAAGGAAAAAAAAAAGGAATAAAAGACCAAGCTAATTCTTATCAACCTGAGGACAGCCTAGGGATGTTTCCGTGTTATATCACACTTCAGTTTTTTCCTCTAGTTTTTCTACTTTGCAATGGCCACATTTTCTCTTAAGCATTCACACGTATCCATGGTTTTCTATATAATTTAGGAGAATAGCTCTAGAACCTACCAGGCATAGCCACAATGAAAACTATTAACACTTTTATAGGGGTCTTTATTGTTGTTGTAGAAACCTGAATAGAGAAATTGCTCTATATTGCAGAGCAGTTAATTTACTTGGCTTTAAAAAGCCCTTGCTTAGAAACGATCTTTCATTAGACTTTTCATAACATCTTCCATCTGTATTTGAAATAGCAGCTGAACTTCTGCAATGTCAGTCATGCCAAAAGAGTTCTCTTAGAACACACTTTTTGGCTAAGGATGGGTCAGAAAACTGTACTTATTAAACAGAGGAAGTTAAGCTCAGAAATGGAATCCAAAGAAAGCCATTTTCAGTACCTATGCAGCTTCAGAGATATACTCCCCTTCTTTGGACCAGAGTTATCCTGCTCTGTGCAACACAGCAATGTGACTCTAGAGCTGACTCTTTGCCAAGATGGCCAAGCCAGAGCCTAAATCCTGGGGACTGAAGAACATCAGCGAAGTGTCTAAGCTACCCACCAACTGCAATGTAGGCACTGAAAGAAGTTCAGCACTGAACTGAGCACCCCTAGCCATTCTCTTGCCAAAGGACTAAAGGAAGCAGAAAAGCTTATTTCCTCATCTAATGCAATAGGAATTTCAGCTTTAACCACAGAAGGGTATGACTCGGGTGTGGTTTCTCCCATGGCTCATTGGTATTGAGCTCAGATTATGCCAAGGAGCAACAACCAAAAGGTGGTGCAGCAGTCTGATACAGTCTCAACTGGGATGTCATATGAAAAATAATTTTATATTGTCAGAACTGAGAAAATAGCAAGGAAAATAAAAGATAAATAAAAAGTAAACAATGCAACAATTAGTGCAGTTCACCCCACAGGGATCACTCCAGATTTTTTACTTTAAGTATCAAAATAATTTTCACTTTTTGTCATTACCACATCACAACTCTAACTGATTAATCTACAGCAAGATTAGAAAAGTTTTAAATGCATCAAATGGAATTTAAGTTTCCCCTCTTTGTTCATGCTGACACATGTAAAGGTTTCCTCAGGCATGACCCTTGCTCCTCTAGTCAATGTAGATGCCTTACTATAAATCACCTAAGGGTAGAATAACACATAAAAGATAATACATAATAACAAATTTACATTAGAAGTTAAACCATGCTGATCTGCACTTAAGAATGAGTTGCCAGATGTTTTATTTTAAAGCACAACTTACCTTTGAGTAAATGTATCTGAAGGACTCCAACAACATAGTGCCATGAAAAACCAACCCAGAATCCAATAGTGCAGCTTTGCAGGTCTCATTTTGTTATGCAAATAGCTGTAAAAGGTGTTGAAAGAAGACATCTTTACCTATCCAATACACTTAAAACACAAAAGAAACCTACTATGTCAGAAACAGCAGGTAATGATACCTCTAGATTAGATTTACAACCATGGGTAAATGGGGATGTCTTTCAGGGCTGTGTCTGATACCCCAGCTTGTATGGTAATTTTCATGAACAAATGCCATCAAGGATGAGATCACTATTTCCTTTTTTTTCTTTACTTGCACATGGTTGCAACAGAGCTACCTTCCAATTAACAGAAATATATAAATCTTTTACACAGTTACACTTTATGTAATTGAAGACTCAACTTGTAGTCAGATTCATTAAAGTGATTCATTAAAGAAACTTTGAATTTAATATTGAATATTCGTGTTGGATTGGCCAAGGCTGATATTAGAAACTCACTGAAAGCCAAGGATGATGTTCAAAGATGGAATTCTGCCTAAATGCCAGCTGACTACTAAACTAATATTTTTTTACAATGCTGTTAAAAGCACATGAGTTTCTGTTCCTGTTATAAACCTGAGATAGCCTTTATGAAACCGTGCACAATTTGCCTAATACTAAAAGGGACCTTAGAAGTCAGGGTAAAAAAAAACAAATCAACCTTCACAAACAGAAGAACTTTCACTTGGCACAGGTCAAAAATCCCAACTGTCTCCCAAATCTCCCAGCCACTTCACAGCATTTCAAATGCGACCTTCTAGAAAGGAATGTACATGCACATATTTACATGCAAGTTATTAAAGCCTCACCAAACCTACTTCCCAACTTCGTCAAAATGACAACCCTACACCACAAGACACTGCAATGTAACCTAGGTGACCTTTCAAAGATCTCTCACTACACAAGCTGTAGTCTTTTTTTCTATGAAGGTTTTTTTAAATTCATTCTTACCACAGTCAAGTAAAGCCTGTTTTGACACCAGTGAAGACATGGCTGATTCCACCACTCCACTGAGAAAACTCAGTGTAATTCATATTCACAGCTCCTTATAAACAAGAACCCATTCTCCCACAGTTGTTATGTGGCTCTGTACCCAGCCTGCAGAACGGCAGTTCTGCAAATGCTGCGCCACAGCTGAAGTACAAAGGAGGGAGCCTCCCTGCTTGCAAAATGTGTGGGGATTTCAAAACTGGTGAGGGGCTTGGGCAAGAACAGTAACTGTTAACCAGCTAAATTTATCACAAGGTCTTGCTAAATTGTGAGGAAACGAACACCTTTAAGACATTCTTCTATTTCATACATTAATGCCTCTTTAATTTGTAATGGACACATTATCAAGGTACTTGGCCTAACAGAAGATATAGGAAGATAAATATTAGTTGCCAACTGTTAACTTCCCAATCTAGTTTCTTAAAACACCAGAAGGAATTTCACTCACCAGGTAAAATAAGAAAAAAATATGATAATTTAAAAAATCATTTAGAGAGTGCTAGTTGTATAGAAAAGGAAACAATAATATAGAACTAATGTTTAGCAAAAGCTAGCCAAAGCAAGACATATGTGCTGTATTAAAGTAATTTATATAGTCATACAGTGTATAAAAATATCACAAATAAGTAATTAAGTGCCGGATAGCCAATTTCCCCAAGAATTCTGCACCTTAAGTGATCTCCAGTCTCATCATTTGACCAACAGGAATGAATGATTATGTGAGATTCTGTCTGAGATTACAGACCTGCTTAATGGTTTAATCTTCTATTATTTTAAACTGAAAACCAACCAAACAAGACTACTTTTCTGCATGAAAAACTATCAAGACAAAACATGGAGAGATTTAAGGAGTGTAAAATTCATGTAAAATTCTGCTCTTCCTACAAAAAGCAGGAAGTACCACTTAAAAGACAGTAATGTCACACACCACAAAAAAAAAAGCTGCATTCTACAGAGGTGTGGAAGAAACACCTTAAGGAAGTCAGTTAGGAAAGAAAAACAACCCAGTGTCATAGCATTTCTTTTGATGTAAGCTGGTAGGCAGAAAGAATTTTTTTTTTCAGTGACTAAGTAGCAAAAAAAGCATCCTTTCTCACTGGATTCTTATGTTCGATCAAGTAATGGCCAGGAACAGAGGGGGCTTCAAACAAACGCTGCTATCAGAGCAGCAGAAGGTGCTGATTTATTCTACATATTGTTCTGATCCCTGAAACCAGAACATAGAGCAACACAGCAGGTTTGAAAGCGCCCAATCTGTAACTTTCACTTTTTTCCACTGATAAACAATCCATAAACTCTAAGGATTTAGCTCAACCTTGCAGGTACCACAACACTATCACGACAGACTGAGTGATTTATTCAAGCTGACCTTTTATTTGTCTCTGATATTGATGGTGGTGGGTGAAAAGTGCATCAATCTCACCTTAAAGGCATCTGAATGATACGCGTTTGAGGAAAATACATGCATCAAAATGAAAACTGCATTAACAACTAAGATGCATAGAGCACATACATTTTTAATAAATATTTCTTCTGCTTACTAAAAATTACTCTAGATTACTAATTTCACAAACACAATAAAGAACAGATTTAACAAATCTTACACCAACTCTTCTCTAGTAAGAAACAGGGGTTTCATATTATGAAAGTTACAAAAAAAAAAGTCAAGATGTTCCAAAAGATTTCATACTGTAGAAAACTTAAAACTTCAAAATGAAACCTGCACACATACATAAAATTATTACTTTAACACTAGGCTATCAACTCACTTTTATTATAGATAAAATTCCAAAGGGCATGATACAGCTTTGGGATTACTCTTGGTTTACTGTATCTAGAAAAGGAATGCAAAGAACATGTTTCTGTGTGTGTTTCTATGTTTTGGTAACCCAGTCAGGGTAAGGTCACTTTCAGTTTTGTTAGCATTGTTCCATGCTGTTTTCAAAATTACCTGCCCAGGCTTATCAAACACTAGAGAGAACTTGCAATAAACACCGAGAAAATCCTCCTCTAACATATTCACTATAGTTTGAATTCTAATATACCACCTTGAGAGGAGTGCTGATGTAGCACATGCTTCTTGTGGACACTAACAATTAGTCACTTCTTATTTTACTCCCTTATTTTGTTTCTGTTTTGCTTTTAACAATTAGCTTGAGTAGCAAACCTCTCATTAATATAAAATCTCCTGCTCTACAGTTTAGTTCAGCATATAAATTCAGAAGAGAAGATGCTGCAGAAGAGCACTCAAGCAATCAGCAGGATATGCCCACGGTTATGACATGGCATGCACGTAGCTAAATGCTGGCAACAATGTCCAGAGGTAAGATTTAGGACAGTCAGCCTGGCATCTAAAGCCACAAAAAAGGAACACCCAAGGGCTTGGTAGCATCCCTAACAAGTCAGCATGTGGCATCTGCCACACCGAGTTAGACAAGCCAAGTCACAACACTGTATGCCAGAAGCATTAATTTAATTTATAACAACGCTCTTAGCTCCGACAACTTTTACCTCCACTGTCCGCTCCCAGCTAACCCTGCATCCCAAGCCCGAGTAATAGCAAAAGGTTCTTCGAAGCCTTTTCAGAGACAATACTCACGCCCACCGCCACGGCTCGATTTCAGCAGTGCCCCTCTCACAGCGTTCAGTGCGATGGGGGCTCTTGCCGCCGAGGCTCAGCGGTGTCGGGGTGAACTCGGAGGCAGCAGAGGCTGCGCTCAGCCGCCCGGCTTCCTGGGGAGCACGGCGGCACCTCGCCCTCCTCGCACGGCAACCAACACACGGCTCTGCTCTAGCACCGATGGAACCCCAACAGCAGAAAGCCTTTACTCCAGATAAACAATCATTACAGAGGTGTCCGCACAAACTGTAAAGAATGCAAATCTCCTAAGCACCGGAAGCGGGGGGCCTCCAGGCGACAGGAGGATGCCAAAGCTGACGTAAGGTGTAAAAAACCCCCTAAAAAATTATTGAGTTTTCCCGCCTCTAGGAAATGTTGCCACTTATTTGGCTGCCTTTCGATTTGCTACTATGCGTGGAATTTAAAACATAAGAAGTGAAAGCAAACACACCAGGCCTGCAAGTCCCACCTTTGGAGCTCGCGCAACTGAGGATCCCAGGGGCAGAGAGGCACTATCCCACGCAGAAAAGCCTACTCAGAAACACCTCGGGCGGGCCGAACCGCAGCTCCCTCCTGCCCGGCTGCCACCGCGGGAGCGCAGCCCCACGGCGGGCAAGGGCGCGGGAAGAGGGAGCCGAGGGAGGCTGGAGCAGGGAAAAATCCGGCCTCGGCTGCTCCGGGTTGAGAACTCAGCACGCTGCGCGCACCCCCCCCAGCCCACGTTACCTCCCGCCCGGCGCAGCCCGCAGGACCTGCCCCGCGCCCGCCCCTCTCCCAGCCCCGCGCACGGCCCCGCCCCGGACGGCGGGGGGCGGCACCTCCGCTCACCACAGCGGCCCCTCGCGGTCTGCCCGGCTGCTGGCGGCTGCTGGGAGCGCCCGCACTCGGGAGTGGCGGCCCCGTGATTTCCCTGGAGCATCCCCGTGGCCAGCCGAGTACCGCGGGAGCAGGGCCTTGTGAGCGCGGGCAAGAAAGGAGCGGCGGCCTGCGGAGGAGATAATTTATGTGGGTGGTTTGGTTCGTCCTGCTGTTTTGGTTGGTTCTTCTTTAGCATATTCATGGATTTAGTTACGTTGTTTCATACTGAGCGTTTGTGCGGCATGGAGGTCTTCGAGAGTGTGATGAGGACTGGAAATAGGAGGCTACTGACTAATGCGAGCGCAGGAGCTGACACAGGTGTCTGTGGCGTGCTTCTCCAAATAGAGAAGTTTGAAATGGTAACAACTCGTGTTTGGAAGCAGTAGGAAGTTTCTGAGGAAGGAGCAACAAGGGATGAGTCAGAACTTGGTTCAGTATTTTCTCAGCAGTATGTTAAGCTATGAAACATTCTGACCCTTCTTTCTCTGCCAATGCATGAGTCATAAATACAAAGTGTGATTATTAATTACTAGTGTGTAGTTTTGAACTACAAGGAGTACGTTACAACCATCTTACATTAATGCACTTAAGAAATATGTGGGCAGATCTGTTTCCACAAACAAAACATTTGTTTTAAACAGATTAATTTCAGTCTTTGTAATAACGTCTTTGTTCAACATCTCAGTTTTATTAACTGCTAAAAAAATTTTTAATTACGTGTTTACATGGTAGGAAGGAGGATGAGGCAAAACTAATCTCTTTGCCTACCTTTCTGTGGAAACATGAAAATGTGCAGATCCATCTGTTGTTGTCTAAGAGGTATGAAAAGTTTCAGAAATTTTCTCAAAGAATTAAAGATAGTGAAGGTCTCCAGATCTTTGTAAGCAGTGTGGCTCTTCCCGCCGCTGAGGACACCAGGGCTCCATGTGGCAGTGAAGTCTTTGTCACTGCCCATAAAATCAGAAGATAAGCACACCAAGTTGTTCTCTCAGACTAGGGGTGAAAACTGGGCTGTACTGCACATACTCTCCAGCCTGCAGGGTTGTGTGCTTCAGTGCTAATCTTGTTAGAGGTGCAACGGAGATTTGCTCTCTGAGGGTGACAGATTGTGGTGTTTGTGAGTGTCCCAGGACAAGGGAAGAGATTAATTTGACTCTATGTTCTCAGAAGGCTGATTTATTATATTATATTAAAGAATGCTATACTAAAACTATATTAAAAGAATAGAGAAAAGGATACACCAGAAGGCTTAACAAGAATGAATAATAAAAATGCGTGACTGACTTAGAGAGTTGGACACAGGTGGCTTTGATTGGTTATTAAGTAAAAACAATTCACATGGAATTAATGAAAGAATCACCTACTACATTCCAAAGCAGCAAAACACAAGGAGAAGTAATTAGATAATTATTATTTACATTCTTTCCTGAGGCTTCTCAACTTCCCAGAAGAAATCCTGGCAAAGGGATTTTTCAGAAAATATCACAGTGACACCTAATTACTGCTTTGCACTTTGTGAAAACTAAGACCAGTGACAAGTTTCCCATTAGGGTGATTACAAAGAGAGATCCAAAGCTACACAGAAATAGTGTAGCCTTTAATATATTAGGACAAAGAAGCTACATTTTTATGTTACAATATCATAAAATAGTGCATGTTAATGGATGCTGTTATTAAAAAGAATGTTTTTGTGAAATATGCAAAGATAGACAACGGACAGCTACATTGGATAACTGTCTCCTTAAGACTTTCTATTTAATATTTATCGATCTACTATAATATTTTGTTTCTCTGGTGTCTTTTATCTCCTGATCACTATTAGCACTCACGATGCTATGAAAAAATGAGGACATGTCAGAATATTTGAAATGTTTCTTTTAAACTTCATGAAAATTATGTTCTGCTCAAAAAATTCTGAACAAATGTGGTAGTGCTCTAGATTTCTATATGTTTATATGCTGAAATGTGTGGCCTGAAAAAAACCCAACCCAAAATGAGTTGAAATGCTTCAAAACAATACATTTTTCCAGCTTTCAGCAGTTTACATTAGGATTTAAGAATCATGATAGAGACTTTCAAATTTTTTCTCCGTAATACAATGTGTGGTTTTGCTTTAATTGTTCTCATTGCAGAAATAGAACAAACAAATCCAGTTAGACTTTATTCCTAAAAGTGTGGTAAAGAAACATTTACAATACTCTGAGCAGATGGACACATTTTGGAATATATGTACAGTCTCATGTCCTAATTTCAAGTCAGTAGACTTAGTCCATGGATTATTTTGAAAGTTTACATTTAATTTAAATTGTTTTAATAGCCTGTAGCTATGTGTTTCTATGATTTCCACAGAGTTGACTTGGGAATTACATAAATTCAAAATGGAAACATTTTCTTCAAACAGTTTGAGGCAGTGTATTGCAATAGGATACGTGACTGTGCTTTGCTGCCCTCAAGATGATGGATATTTAGCCATATAATAGTCTGCTGTTTTGCAGAGCTCAAAAAACATTATCTGTAGAATGAACTCCAAATATTCTACATGTATTTGAAAGCTGGAAGGCACTGTTTATGAAATGCTAAATGACTGTTGCAAATTATAAACTATCTTCTAAAGTCTATTGATTTGTCTTCCTCTGCTCTATCTTTCCTTCATGAATTATTTTATCAAGTGGGTTTTGTCTTTCCATTAAGTTTAGAGATCTAGTTATTATAGGTAAAAATTGATTCAGCCAATTAGATCAAAAATAAAAATAAAATTTATTCGCGACTGATATACAGTCCTGACCTCTAACAATCAAAAAGCAGCACCGACCCTGGGATCAGAGCAGGTGAACAATGATTTGGCATCTATCCCACCGAATCCCCCTGTTCACCATCGAGGCCTGGCAGAGTTCCAGTGTTATACTCTTTTATTTTCTCTTGCCTGCGGCAGAGTCCCTTTGTCCCCTCCTGGAGTCCTTAATATTTGTGCAGTGTCTATTCTCTGTCCTATGCAGGACAAAGCCACGTCAGGGAATTGATGTGTATCTGTGTCCAGTTCCCAGAATCCTTCATTCACATGTATGTCCTTGATGTCCTGTCTATCTGAGGTGGACATCTACATGGGCCATCATCGCTGGGCATTTTCTTGTTCATGCCATCGGGGAGTGCCAATCTCCTGTGCAGGCTAGGTTTTCTTTGTATGTTAGTGATGCACCTCCTCCTCGGCTGCGAGCTGTCCTGTGTGGCAATCTCCCTCTCCCCTTTGCTGGCATGATCTTAAAGCTTTATTTTATATTACATTAATAATCTTATATTATAATATTATACCCAGCACAAATTATCCCCTTATTCCTAACAGAGTGAACAAATAAAAATAACTGTAGTTTCAGACATTATCTTTCTCAATTTACTATTTGTTTCTGATACGATTTTGAAAAATTAAACTGAAGGAATTAAGTGCTTAAGTGCAGTGTTGTGGGTTTACTTTAAGAAAATTTTGTACTGAAGTGAAAGACTGCTAATGTTTCTGAACTTCAGGATTTGAAAATACAACACTCTTTGGGCTGCTGTGGGATTGGGCGTAGGTCTCCAGCAGTACTTCCCATGTGTCCAGCAGAAGTGGGGTGCAGTGAAGGACACCTGTCCGCACAGGCAGTCTTTAGAGCATCCCTGAAGAGTCAGTGCAGAAAGCTGGTTTTAAAACCAGCCTTCCGCAGTGCCCTGCTTTGCCTGGGGGCTGTACATGCTCCCTTGGAGCATTCCTAACTTATGAAATTATTTGTCAAATTATTTGACTTCAAGAAAAGTTATAAGCAGTTCAGCATGGAAAAAAATGCCACATGTAGTTCTGCAGAGAAAGCATTACCATTTACAAACCTTTATATCTTTTGTTTTAAGGAGCAATAACGAACATGCTTGTTATGAAACGAGGGCTCTAGAAGCCCCTCTTGGTGCTGTTCAGCATCAGGTGCTCTTGTGGGCAGCAGAGCAGACGGGTGAGACCTTGCCTGGAGCCCACTGCTGCCGTCAGAAGCTGCTGGAGCGAGCGTGGCGCTGGAACGGGGGCTGTTCACCCTTCAGCCCGAACACAGAGCAGCTGCAGCCGCCAGGCGTCGGAGCTGTCCAAGCGCTTCTTGAACTTTGATCGGCTCGGTGCTGTGACCACTTCCCTGGGGAACCCTGGAGGGCCTGCTCCATGGCCCAGCTACTCTCTGGATGAAAACATTTTCGTAATATCTAATCTAAACCGCCCGCGACTCAGCTTTATGCCATTCCTTCGCGTCCTGTCACTGATCACCACAAAGAAATCGCTGCGTGCCCCTCTGCTTCCCCTCGCGAGAAAGTTGTAGGCTGTGTTGAGATCTCCCCTCAGTCTCCTCCAGCTGAACAGACCAAATGAGCTCAGCCACTCCTCGTACAGTTGCTTGGGTTCGAGCATGGCGGGAGAAAGGGGGAGACACCGTGCGCGTCTGAGGGGCCGCTTGCGGGCACGGGCGGTCACGCAGTTCAGCCGTTACCGCCGCCCCCGCTTTGAACTTCCCGCCAGGCGCCCGCGCTGCCCATTCACCGCAGCAGTTTCCAGGCTCAGCGGGCGGCAAAAGCGCCGGGTTGGCGCGGTCTCTCTGCGTCCCCTCTCAGGGCGGTGCCGAGGGCGGCCACCGGCCCTGCCCGCTCCGTTCCCTCGGGTCCGCCCTAGGCTGGTGCCTCCGGCGCCGGCGAATCTGCCGCGCTAGTCCCGCCGCTAGCGCGGTTTGGGCGGTTGTCAGGGAGAAGCAAGATGGCGGCCGCGGCGGCGGAGGAGGACACGGAGCTGCGGGACTTGCTGGTGCAGACGCTGGAGAGTAGCGGGGTACTCAATAAGATTAAGGTGGGAGAAGAAGAGCCTCTCGCCGGCGGGGAGCGTTGGCTGGCGCTGGAGGCGCTTCGCGGCCCTGCGGAATGTGGGAGGACCGAGGCTTCCCGTGCTTCGTTCCCTTTCACTCCCGCTTGCAGCCGGTGTTCCCGGCTGGAGCGCTCCCTCGGCGTCGCGGCCTGGTGGTGGCGCCTGCTTTCCCGTGGTGTTCCCCGGCTGCTCGTGGTGGAGCTGGTGTGAGGGCCCGGGGCCTGACCGTCGCACGGCGCTGCCCCGCGGCCGCGGGAATTCGGGATTCCCCGAACGGGCAGAGCGAGGGGAGCGCGGAGCCGCCGCGGGGAGCCCGGCCCCGGCTGCGCGCGTTCGCTCTCAGGTAGCGTGTGGCCGCAAGAGCTCCCTTGCTGCCGCCAGACTGGCTGGAAGCAATGGGCAGCAGCCTGGTGCGAGACCGGGTGGGTGAAGTTGATCCCTGCTTCGATACGGAAAGCCTTTACTGAAAATTTCAAGCTGGAGTTGTTGTGGGTCGCTATTTAAGCACTTGTTCTTCGTTGCTTCAGTTGTGCCTTGAAGGCTTGCTAAGTTTGGAAACTCTCGGGCGATGCTGCCCGCTTACAGGGAGCAAATAGCCCTATGTTAAGAAAATATAGGGAAGATAGTGGAGTGCACCTACTACTGAGTCAGTAGTGCAGCCTGAGCTTGTGTCAGAAAGGGTAGGAAAATTGATTCTGTGGATTCTTGTTCAGATGAAAAGCTTCCAGCAATAATTATTGTGTATAATAGAGAGCAACACAGGTACGGAAGCCTAAAAATAAATGGTTTCCTTCAAGGCTGGAGGAGAAATGAAGTGTAGCTTTCAGATAACGGATGGTGGTGTTTATCCACAGTACCGTTTTAAGTCTCCAGAGGTCATTGCTGATATTTCAAGAACAGTTCAACAACTGAAGTGGTTTATGGAAGTGAGAGCATCTTTGTATATGTACTTTCAAGTTTACTGTATTTTGAACTAGTCATACTTTTCAGGAAAATAATGTGCAAAACCACATTGTTCATCCCTTTCAAATGGATTATTGTTATTTAAGTTCTGTAAGAGAATGAAGAGTCTAGCTCAAGTAACTGTGTTCTGAGTAGTGAGGCTTTTCTAATAGATGTCAGATAGGCCTTTTGGGCAACCTGTTAACCACTCACCTACTATTAAACAATCCAAGTATGGTGATAGTAAAACTGTAATTAAAAAAGCATGGCAAGGCAATTGGGTCACATTGAGCTCGTGAACCAGAATTTCTTAATTCCTACCTTTTTGTAGTATGTAAAATTTCATGCTATGATTGCCAGTACATTGAGTTTTATGTGAATAAATTTATTGTAGTTTACTGTTCTATAATGCTTAGAGCGAGCAGTATCCAATACCGTGTCAACTGCCGTTACGGCAAATTAGCGAATGACTTAAAAAAATACAAAGTGTAGCCTCTTTGCCAGATTATGTCCCTCCTTAATACAAGGTGTTACTGTTTAATAACCGGTATGCTTATGGATAAGGCTTTTGACTGGAAGAACTCATGGTGTTTTTTTTCTTAGCTGTAAGCCTTAATTGGCATGTGAGTTTGAGTGTTGTTTGGCTGTGTTAATGACATAGAGATTTTGTTCTACTATTAATTGACAAAACCCTGTTGCTGGAAGAATTAAGATTGAACAAGGCTTCTTAAACTGTCACCTTTTAATTGAAATTAGATTATACCATCCATTAAAAAAAGTTGTAGTCATCCTTTTATTAAAATTAATTAAACTTGATTTTGTTCAATAGTGCTTATCTATTATGTGTCAGTATTTTTTTATTATGTGGTAGAACTGAACATTTACATGTGACAACTGATGCTTGTTTCATACTTTACAACGAGAGCTGACCATTTTTCAAGATGAATGAGGCTAGAAAGCTACAATAAAGTATTTGTGATTTATTGAAGTAGCTACATTAAGGAGAAAAATATGTGGTCGAGGTATAGCTGCATTGGTATGAGGCACTGGAAGGGTTAGAATCAAGGGGAATTATTTCAGTGGATGGAATGTATCAGGGTGTCACACATTTTGTAACATAATGAGAGTAATTTTTAGAAAGAAAATTACTGTCATAATTTAGTTCTCTAATAAGAGACAATTTTATAATGCCTTGCAGTTTATTAGTTTATTCTTATTTTGAGATTAATTTCTTGGGTGCATTGGTTGATGTAAATTTTTTAGCTGAAAAAAATTTACTTACGATATTTTAAAAATCTGTTCATAATTTTTGTATTTGTCTTAAAGTTTGAGCACTGAAGTAATTAGTAAAGTAATATTGTGAAAACTGGAAGTTGTATAAATGTATTTACTGCTTGTAGTTGAGAATTTCCTGTACATTTATCTCTAAAGTGCAATATGTGTGTATATGTATACACACACACACACATAAATGTGTATAGTACAGATGTGTACTGTATATAGTTTGTTGATCACTGGAATAAGTTCGATGAATGAAACCGCTTTCTAATGAATCCTGTAAACACACAATATAACTGTAGATATTTGTATTTCAGTGAAAATTATCACTGTTTCTGTGTGATAGTGTACAAATAGAGATGTTCTGTCTTGAAGAGAATGTGATCTTTCTCCTAGGGAAGCTGTCATCATCTGAGCAAGAGGAGCCATTATGCTTCTTATGTGTTTCTTTGTTATCTTATTTTGCTTTAGTTTATATATTTTAATCTCTTGCTTTGGAATCATTTAAGTTTATATTACCTGAATTTTGCATCTTCTCTGGAACTTGCTGTTGCTACAGTTATGTGAGGGGAGTTAGCATCACTAATGTAATATGCCTAATAAAGCTTTTCGCCAGGTGATAGTGTAATTAGTAATTACAGTAATTTCTTACTAATTTGCTTCAAAACCTGGACAGCTGAGGTATGGGCAAGTTGTGTGATTTTAGAGCAGATAAAAGTTCCATTTTTTAATATGAGCATTTGCACAGGTCAGTTAGAATTGTCCTGTTTGCTTTTGCATCTTTGATCCATGTACAGTAAGGAACAGTGCTTTTAAATGTCTTGGAATTATTACCTGTCAAGATGAGCATGCTGTGCACTGCAGTGTAACCTCCTGTTTTCTGCATGTTGTGGTGTGTTGTTTGTTTTGAAGCAGTTTATACCAGAAAGTTAACTTAATATCTATTTCTTTTTAGTTTTATAATTCAAGTAAAATATAACCATTTTTAATTATTTCTAATAAACTAACTGAAATTCAACATTTAAATGTCAGTGTGGTCCTCATGATATTCTCAGGAAGTAGTCTAAGGATGACTGGTTCCGCTCCTAGTCCAGGACTTTGTTTATGTCTAGGGGTTTATGTGTGCACAATCACTCCTTTATGCCACTTAGCCAAGATTCCAGTTTGGCAGGCGGTGGTGGAGAGCATACCCTCCATGTGCTCAAGGATGAGAACCTTTACAGATTTTTCAGATGGAGATTACAGGGAGGGTATTATACTGATTAATGTTGGTGGAGATGTTCCTGGTTGTGGTTTGACACCACCCTTGGATTTGTGATGCATGTAGACTGGGAGAGGTGTTTATCCTGGTGCACACAGAGTTTTAGCCTGGGTTGATCACCAGGAGTTAAACAGCTCAACGTTCTGCCATGTCTCTTTCTGAAGCAATGCATCTGCTCTCTATATACCAAGGTGTATGACAGTTGTTTTGGAGTTAGGAAGTGGAGATACTGAAAGTTGTGCAGGAAGTGCCCATGTGCCATTAAATTTTGCAAATGCAAGAGATTGTTTATGCTTGGCATGCATGGGGCTATTCCACAGTGCTGGAGCAGATGGCAGTTATACATTCCTGAGCTTTAGCTGGAAGGTCTCTGAGAAACCTTACGCATTACTTTAATCATTTCACTTCCCTAAACCACATATTTAACCACAGCACCCTCTGATGCACATCTTGTGAGTGCAAGCTTGCAGGAGATTTTGCACCTCCAGCTGACCCATTGCAGATCTTTGAAGGGTCTCCTGTGTTGGCACTTGCTGAACTTGCCTACCCCTTGTTTCTTAGGGAATACACTACTCTGCCTGGATGGCTTCAAAAACTGTGTTCAGCTTGCTGAAGTGGGTTGAGAAGAGTGGTAGCATATGCGTTTAGCAGGCTGAAATTCATATTATGGTTTCTGCTAATGAGTCTTCGTTGAAAAAAGAAGCCCAGGACTTCCTCTGCAAAAGCTGCAGAATTCTAAGGGTTTGTAGAAATGTTGAGAGATGCATGAAACAGACAGCAAGGCTCAACTGTGCTATAGGTACAAAGCAGTTTATGAAGCTAAAGTTCCCATTTTTTTACCTAGTATTCCACAGCATTTGGAGATCAGTGTTGGGAAACCATTGCTCATGCATATGAAATATTGCCCCAGCAATAGAAAATATGGATAAAGTTTGATAGGAAAATAATATTTTGATGAGGTATCTTTGGAAGGTGTTGGGATATTGGGATTGAAGGTGAATTGTGTAGCTGTACAAAAGAGACAGAATGCAAGGAGCAAGTCATATCCAGAGTTTGTGCTTATGATAAGAAATCATCTTGGCCACTGATGTGCCTACATGCCTTGAGGTGTAGGAATGTGTTTGAAGTTTACAAGTATTTTCCTGTTGGAAAATACTGTCTCAAGTTTTGTCTTAGAAAAATGACATCTCTTTTTTATAAGTCCTGGACAAATCTATTCTAGCACAATCAAAGACAAATACTACAAATACTAAAAAAAAAAAAAAGAAAAAAAGAAAACCCCAAAAAAAAACCAAAACAAATACCAAACAAAAACAAAAACAAAAAAACCACCACCCAACCCACCCCCCAAAAAAAAAAAAAAAAAAAAACCACAAACCCACAACACCAGAAATTACATGGACTTGCTAAATATCATACCTATTGGAGTCTGCAATTAGGAGGTGGTTACAGGTAATCATTCAGTCCTGAATGGTCTCTGTCTTATCCATTCACTTTTCATCCAGTATCTGCTATGTAACATGCTGTGGATAGCGTTAAAGCATACTGCTAAGTCAGACCAATAACCTTTTTAATGTAGGTGCTTGTGGTCTTCCTATTAAAAGTATATTTCCAAATTAGATAGGCATTTTTTGAGATGCCACCTAAAAAGTGTGTTTGGGAAGCTCTTGAGATAGTAAGAAGTGTTATCCTCTTTTCCAGGGAGCTGCAGATTGAGGGAACTGTTTTCATGGACAGTCCTTAGGGTACATGTATAAAGGTCTCTATTTGGAATAGGGTAAATTTACCCAGGTTCAGAGGGATACTGCAATTCAGTGCAGAAAACATGCTTTGTTTCATAGACTTTAATTTCTGATTTATAGTACAATAACAATCAGTAAAAACCAGTGTTGTCTAATGAGCTGTAAATGCCTGGGAGGAAAAGGGAAAATTTAATTTTGTTTCAAAACAGTGACCCGTACATTTCTCTAACACAGAGGGTATTTGTTATATACAGTGATAGCCTTACTTGTTTAGCCAAGTTCAGTGAAACCAAATTGCTGTTTCATTGACATGAGCTCTTGCCTTATAAAACTTCTTAGGGATAGAAGAGAATGGGTATCTTTCACAGTATGAAAAAGAAGTCTGCAGGCTTGATGGATGTAGAAGTGATAGACACTCATCAACATCTGTCTCTGTTGACATAATCCTGTTTTATTGAAGACTTAGGATGTGGGTGGGGAATTAGAATATCAAGCTTTGGACTGCTTTACTACTAGACAGTGAATAAAATTCTTCACAGTGTATTTGGATTGTGTTGAATTCTGCTGGCAGAATGAGGCAGTGTGGAATAGCGAAATGATGAAAATGACAAGAGTAGATTGTAACAATGTATGAGACATGTATTGGACTAGTGCTGAAGGGTACTAGGGCAAAGAGAAATGCAATCTTTCATTAAAAACAAAATCCATTAAAAACAAAAGATGTGTGAGAAGGACACTGTAAGTGGATTAATCTGTGTAGTTATAACCTTCATATCTGTGGCCATACCTGATGATGGTGATCTCAGTCTCTGCTGCTCAAATGCTCTATGACTGCCCTTAGGTCCTAAAAAGCCTGTATGACATTGTCCATCCTATTAATGTAGTATGATTCATCTTGTAGTAGGGTAATTATTCCTTTGGCCTGAGCTTTGTTATTGTTGCTTTTTACTTTCTTCTGCATGAAGTTGAGAATTACTGCTTTAACTTCACACAAATTCTAGTGTGTGGTTCTTTGTCTAAATTTATTGAGATGATATTTTGAGAATATTGTGCTATGATCTGAGCAGTACTCGCCACAAAGGGTGAAGGTCAGTGTGTTGTTGTAGTAGTGTAAACTTTCCTTGTGGGGATAATACAGGAACGTGTAACTTCAAACATTGTGGTGCTTGCAGGGTTAAAGGATATATTGCAGGGCTATCTGTGGAAAGGCTTTAGGGTGGGTGGTATTTTAGCTGATGTAGGTAAGCTAAAGGGAGGTGTAAACACCAGTGGCATTATCTTCATATCAGGCAGCTCCTGGTCCTTAAATTTATTAATTGGGCACTAAAGTAAATAAAGGTGGACCTAAAGCTGTTCACGGGGAATGGCAACATCTGAGATAAATTGACCATGTGTGATTAAATAGATAAGAAGAGGAAGAAAAGCACATCTGTTAGTAACTAAAAGCCAATGGGTTGGACCTAGATGAGTGAAGCAGGCATACAATCCCAGTTAAGTGAAAAAAAAAAAAAGTGACAGTTTGATATTGTTCCAGCATCTCAAAGCAGGTCAGATTCTAGATTGGCTGATGTACTGGCAACTGGCAATATATCCAGTCCCATGATCCAGACCCTTAGGGGGGTTTGCCCCTATGCACCTGCATTGACTGGTGTGTTTTATTTTGAACTTTGTTATTTTTATTATCCTATTATGTAAATTTATTTGATTTGTGTGACCTAAGTGACAAATAAAGCCTTGCTTTCAGGTTTATCTTAGTGAGGTAAAACTAAATAAGTTATTAGATGCTGGTTGCAAAGTTAAATGAAAACTGATTTTGTAAGAATAATGTTTAAGTTAATTGCTTATAAGAGGATTTTCTGATTGAATACTGTATCTGAGAAACTGAAAAAATGTGATTGCAGTGTTAGTATGACCATTGCATATAATTGTTGTGTTTTACTCTTTTGGTGAGAATCCTTTTAGCTTTTTTGCATTATTTTTTGTCTTTCAATAAGGTGTCCAAAGAGGAGTTTCCTTAAAAAAAAAAAAAAGGTGTTTGTTTTTCCCATGAGAGGTGTTTGGGTTTGTGGTTTTTTGTTTGGTTGTTTTTTGGGTGGGTTTTTTGTTTGGTGGGGTTTGGTGTTTTTTGCTTTGGTGGGTTTTTTATGGGTGGGCATTTCCTTTTGGTTTTATTTTTTTTGGGAGGGACCAGTTACTTCATATTTTTTTACCTCTTGTAATATATATGAGAAAGTCCAGACATTCTTTGTATTGGTTGTACTCTTGGTTATGGAAAGAAATCTCTCTTTTAAATTCTGGTTTTTGTTGGGTTTTTTTTTTTGGTTTTTTTATGTTTGTTTGTTTGTTTGTTTTTTTGCTGTGGAGAAAACTTTAATATGCTGTCTTTTCTAGTTTATTACTGCAGTGTTATCCGCTGACTTACTTCAAAATGTATGTTGTCCATTTGACACGTTCAGTCAAAGTAGAAGAATTGTAGTGCTTACAAAAAATTTTTAAAAGTAGGCAAGGCTTAAGCTTCAATATTCAAAGTAGCCCTTAGAAGAATTCTGGTTCTTTATAATAATAACATTAAGAATCAGGTAGGTAAACCATTACTACCAGGAGTATTTGAATGACTGTGATCATGTTCTTTTCCTTGAGAAATTCTGGGGCTTTGAGTGTAATCTGAAAAGAAATAATAGCAATTTGTATATCTTAATGTATAGTTTTTTAATGGGTTATTATGGCTTATTTGTTCATATTTCCTGAGTGAATTGTAAATGAATGGTAGGTGTTTTGGAGCTGCCTGAATGAGATGGATGTTTAACTGTCAAAGAAACTAGTAGATAATTTAGATACTTTGGAATCTTTTTATGTACAAAGAAATAATTTAGGACGTCTTGTATCAAATTATGCTGCCCCGTGCCTTGTTCTCAGAATGGAAACTATTATTTCTCTGCCTCAAGTAACATTGCTTGTAATCTTAAGTACTTTAATTGCACTGATATAGATTGCAGTCCATGCCAAGTTGTTTGAGGAGAAACAAATAGCTGTAAAGCTAGTTGCTAGCTCTTTGCATCCTATTTGCTTAGGAAAAAAAGTGCTTTTAGAAATACTGTTGTTTTGGTTTTTGTTTGGCAGGCAGAGTTACGAGCAGCTGTGTTTTTGGCATTAGAAGAACAAGAGAAAGTAGAGGTAAGAGAACCTTAAAAAACAAATCAGAAAGAAAAAAACATCCTTTGTGTAGAATTAAATATAATAGCTTTAATACTTTCTATTTGTGAAATGTAACAAGATAAAAATATGTATTTCTGCATAAGATGTATAAAGAACACAAAACAGGACTATCAGGATGTTTACTGATGTTTAAAAATAGGAATTGTTAAATAGCCTTTTGAAATTATAAGTTTAAGTGTCTGTCTCTGCTAGGTTTATATGGCTTCTGTCCAGCTGACCAGAATAGCTAAATGTTTTCTTCATCAAATACATCTTCTAAAAAAGAGATCTACTTGGCTGATCAAGATTTTATCAAATCAGAATAATTTCTTTTGAAATTGAAAATATATTTACTGGGGTGTCTTGACAAGTGTATTTCAAAAGCAGTGTAGTCCAATAAAATGCCAAGTATGCTAATGCTTATGGTATTTCCCATAAAGATGTTGTAGGCTTGCTTCAGGATAATTTGCTTTAACACTTAAGGATGAATTCTTAATAATAAGATGGACTATGTACTGACACCTCTGCAATGTATTAATATTAAGGAGTGAGATACTTGATACATGGTTGCATACAGACATAGCATATTGATTTATTTCTGTTTAAAAACTGAAGAGGGCAAATCTAACAAGGGAGAAAAAAATGATTTTTCATAGTATCTTCAAAGGTGTTTTGATTAATAGAAGATAAGTATTGATTTGTGTTCTAATCATTAGCATATTCCACATTTCATCTGGAAGATTTGCAAATTTCCAATTTTTAAAATGCTGGACTGAATTGCCTTAAACTTTGCACTATATTAGAGGAGCAACATGGGAAGTTACCTGCTTAACTTACCTCTTCAGTCATTAGATAAATAAAAATCAGTATGCTGTTAAGAATTTTGGTGAAATTACTTTAGCTCTGAGACAAATTTAATTTGCCTAAATAAATTTATTGCTAAGTAGCTTTTACTTGTAGTTATAGAATTCATACAAAGGTAGAATTTTAAGAAGTGAATTGCATGGGTAGGGCATCATTGTGCAGCAGAGTACGCCAAAACACTAGCTTTCTGTGGTTTTCAGTTTCTTGCTAGCATGTAGATGATGTTAATTGCTGTTTGGTTTTTGCTTTTTGACAGAACAAAGCACCTCTGGTAAATGAAAGCTTGAAAAGTTTTTTAGGTACAAAGGATGGTAAGTTCTTTGTTTAGTATATACTTCTCCTGATAATAAAAATAGGAGACAAAGGATTAAATCTTCAAATCTTATTAATAGAGCAGTTTCCATTACCTTAAGTATGCTTTTGTTCCTTTCAGATGTCCTAATTACTACTCATTTGCAATAGAATTAAATCTATACTTTTTAAAGTTAATATTGCTGAAGTTATATTTTTAATTAAGGTGATAAATGCTTTGAAGTTAATATTTCACAATGCCTTATGGTTGTGCTAACTCAGAGACATTCTAGACCAATAGAAACAGTAACCTGTGAAAGCGAAGAGTAGAGGTACAGGAGGGAATGCGCATATATGACAAATGCTTAAATGATGTTTTTAAAACAGCTGAATAGTTTCAAAAAATGCTGTGCATTTTGTAATTTTGTAAGCAGTCCGTAAAGCTCTTGCAGTATTACTGGCTGAAATGATTTTTATATGATGGCCAATTCAAAATTAGAGAGATGGTATACAAACTTGCTGTGAGGTGGTGGTTTGCTGAATATTTAAACCATGTCCATACTGAAGCCGTGTGTGCTGGTGTTGCTGTTAAATCTTTGAAATAAGATTTGGTTTTTTGTCCGGTGTATTTTAACTCTTCTCATTTTCTTTTTAGGTCGCTTGGTAGCAGGTCTTGTTGCAGAATTTCTACGGTTTTTCAATCTTGATTTTACTTTAGCTGTTTTTCAGCCTGAATCAAGCACAGTAAGATAGACTGGTTTTGTTTGTATGCAATGCTCACTGTTTGAAGTGCATGGCAGTGAATGCAGAAGCTATGGCAGATTTATTTAAACCACTTGTTTTTATTAAAAATGTGGTATTTTATGCTTTGTCTGTAATAGGTGCTTAGTGTCATGCAAATACATTTTTCAGGAAAGTGGGCTAATATGAATATTTCTCTTTATCAAAATCAATGCTAGATAGTAATTTAATTTTGAAATAACAAGCTGATAATTTTTGTGGAGTCATATAATGGTATATGAATCCTGCGTACCACTGCAACATGTTTTGCCACTAACTTTACTATGTCATAATGTTAAGTTAACATTGTTGAAAACTAAAATAATGAAAACTAAAATAATGTCAGTCATCTACTCAGAAAGAAATTTCAGTGACACAAACGACTTTGTGCAGATATACTTGACAAAAAGTGATTGAATAGGGTATTTCAGTTGGGAGGGACCTACAGTGATTATGTGGCCCAGCTGATTGCTTTAAGGTTTCAGGTACTGAATTAGAAGGTTTTCATAATCTTTGTCTCTTTTTATGATATAAAGGTTTTAATAATAATTTTGGGTTTGAAGCAGTTTCATTTCACTGCAGATTTTGTCATTATATCTCAAATACTTTTTTTCTTGAAGTTTGGTTTAATAGTTAATACATTAAAAATCCAATTTCTTCAAATCAGTCAGTTAGTTGAATTCTATTTCTCAGAAATTCATGTTTCTTTTTAGGAGCTTATTCAAAGAAAATCCCATACAACTTTGTTCTTTGCCAAATATCCTTAGCCAAATTAGTTGCTAAGTTATTACTGGAACACATCTGTACAAAGATTCATGTACATGCACCAAATAAAACCAGTTAAAACCAGCTACACTTAGTGTTGTGTTGCCACTCACTCTTGGGAGCAGTGCTTCATTTGCATTGTAAAGGCATATTATTTATACTCTTTGAAACACCTCCTTCTGTTTTCCAATAAATGTGTCCATTTTACCTATTGCAAATCATAATGGAAATTTGGCCAAAATTAAGTGAGCTGGCCAAGACTGCTGTGTAGGGTTCTGAAAGATTTGACTTTGTCTGTTTCTACTAGCCTCTGCCTCTGAGTAGTTACGTGTACTGTCTCTTTGTCCAATGTGCTTGGCTAGTGATGGCTCACATCAATATTTGCTAGACCTGTGTTCTCATAGGAAGTGTCACTATATGGTCATAAGAGATCAAGATGAACTGGTGCCCTTTGCAGTGTCACCATCTGGGGCTGTGCTAACCAGGCTGGGTTTGCTGTAGCATTCTGCTTCTCCTATAGTGTGAAGTTCAGTTTGAAAAAGTGTTGGTGGGGTTTATTGGTAGGGTTTTTTTGGATGATACCAAATTGCTTTCATCCCTTTTTCTGTCCAAACCCATGTATTTTTTAATGTGAAACAGAGACTTGAAAGTAAGTGTTGACCTGTGCAAGCCTAGTTCTGTATGCACAGGAATGGTGACTCCCCATCATCCATGAATTTGCTGGGACCACTGGCTGGGTGTCCTTGGATACGCTTTTAAATGTGATAGGCTAAAGTAATTTGGCCATATAAATTCTTAAATCCCAAAGCATGCTAATGATGGTTTCTTGCATATTTAAAATAATTTTGCATGATCTGCAACAAGTTCAGGTACAGATCAGAAGTAAATTATGCAATAGATGATATGTAAAACAGGTGGAGATGTGGCATGTAGGGGCATGGTGTAGTGGTGGACTGGATGATCTTAAGGATCAAGCCAACTTGAGTCATTCTATGATTTTATTATTTTAGTCCACCAGCAACAAGACAGCATAAATAATCACTGTTTAGTTCAGGTAGTGCTGTGTTAAATAAGACTTTTGTATTACAAAATGTATCTTTTGTTTTCTGACAGATATTTCAATGTTGTGATTCTTTTTTTTTCTGTTGTCCCTCCAGCTAAATGGCCTTGATGGTCGAGAAAACTTAGCTCGAGATTTGGGAATTACAGAAACAGAAGGTGCTGTGGGTGGCCCCCTGTTGCTGGAGGTTGTTAGGAAGTGTCAGCAGAAAAAGACTTCAGGTGGTGGAGAAGTAAGTAATACTAAATTGAAATTTCTTTCTGTATCTTTTTTTCTTTTAATGAGGAAAAATAAACTGAAATTATGAACACTTGGCTATTGTACTATTATACTATTTCAGGTCTTTTTTATATTATGCCTTCAACTTAATCAGAGAGATGAGAGATAAACTTTATGAATATTACTTTTAATACCACCCTAGGACTCTTTATTATTATTCTGCTACAACATAGTAGCACAGAGTAAATCTAGATAAATGACACAAAACACTGTGTCACTTATTTTCTTATTTCTGGTGTGGCTTGATAACACTTTTATCTATACCTGTTTTCCTTGGCATACTTATAATTTTAGTATGACCGGAAAAGCCGGAAATTAATTTTGTCAAAAGCTTTAAAGCTCTACTGAAAACTTATGTACTTAAAATTAAATATATCAAAGTATTGTACTATTTGAAGGCAATGACAGTAGTATTTGAATGGAATAGATAATAAATATGTTGATTAAGTGAATTAAACCCAACAAATAGCATTTGATTGTGACTTGAAAGAAAGTTCTCTACACCCAGGATGTATTCAGTATCCCAAAGAAAGCTTAAATTCAGGAGTAGTTGTCATAGACTTCTTAACACAGCAATTTTCTGTCACATGAAAGTAGGATTTCCTTGAGCCCTTGTATTTCCTTGTATTTGATCAGTCTGGGAATGCCCCAGGAAAGCCAAGACCCTTGTGCCTGCCAGTCTGCGCGTCTCCTGTTATGCGGACTCCACTGAGCAGTCCACTCTGTTGGAGGATGTTTAAATGACTTGCTGAGGTTCATGTGCCAGCAATGTATTGGGGTCAATCCCGTAGTGCAATTTAGAAGGGAGAGCCCCTCCTGGATCTCCTCACTCTGTGATTTCCATACTGTGTATGACTATAACTTCCCAGTTTTCTCTAGTACTGCCCTCAGCTGTCTTCCCAGTGTCAAGGTTTACATACTGTCCAAGTGAGGGTAGCCTTGTTTCTTGTTGGATGCAATTATCATAGGATCAGAGAATCATTGAGATTGAAAGAGACCATTGAAAGATCATCCACTTCAAGCATCAGCATAGCATCGTCATTGTAATGCCTAACACACAGCACCAAGCACCAGATCCAATGCTTCTCGAACACTTCCTAGGATGGGGACTCCACCACCCCTCTGGGTAGCCTGTTCCAATGCCTGACCACTGTAACAGTGAAACAATTTTTTCTAACGTAATCTGGATCCCCCGTCTCATCTTAAGGCCATTTCCTCTAGACTTCTCACTGCAGGCACAGTAGAAGAGTCTGGTCCCCACCTCACTACATCCCCCCTGAGCCTCCACTTGTTTAGACCAGCTGCCTCAACTGTTCCTTTTAGGACATGTTTTCTAGATCCTTCATGAGTCTCATTGCCCTTCTCTGGACATGTTCCAACACCTCAATATATTTTCTAATGGGAGGGGCCCAAAACTGAATGCAGTAGTTGAGACGCAACCTCACCAGTTCCAGTTATTACAACCTCACCAGTTCCAGTTATTTAGTAAGTGCTTATTTAAAACTTCTTAGGTGGCTCCAGTTCTAAGTGACAGCCAGTGCCCGACATCAAAATCATCTGATGGATGGTCAAGTGCACAATCTATACCAAATAAAGTAAGATTATGTATAATAAAAAAGCTTTGTAACATATGTGAGATGACTAAAAGAGAGAACTCCTATGAAGCTGCAGATATGAGAGCATAAGACTCCTGTGAAACTGCAGCATTCACTTAAATGATCTGCAATTTGAATATATTTATTCCACTCAGCAAAACTTTAATCTATGATTTCCAAGATAAGATGAGCTGTTGTGCTTGTAGTTTACGGGCATGACATAGTACAGGCCCCAGAACAGAAAATTAGCTGTAACTTCCCTTTTATTGTAGCCAGGCTATCATCAAGCTCTTAGTTTTCAAAACAAGTTCTGTTCCTCTGGATAGGAAATCAAAATATTTTTATTACTACCACTTGTGGGTTTTAGTACTTTTCCCTGCCTTAGTAAAACTGAGCTACTGCCAGCAATTGAATGTGGTTCTGTGACTGAGATAAAATAGCCTGGGTATGAAAAAGACCTACCAAGGTAATTTTAACTTTCATGGCCTTTAGCTTGAAAATGTAGCTTCAGCCTTCTGAACAAAAGCTAATGACTGATAAAAAATACTTCAGACAGTACAACTTGCATACGTATTGACTATCTGGATTAAATAATACTCTTTGTTTCAAAACTGTGCTGCTGTTCGTGTGTAGAAAGGAAGCTAATGTAATAAATCTTTTACTGGCTTAATTTTAATAAGTCTAGGAGAAAGTAAAAATAATGATACTCCTTGCTAGGTAATAATATAAAAACATTTTTCTTTCTCAGCACCTTGATTATCTAGGCAAACTAGAATATTGTTGTTTGGGCCACAAAGCCATGCTAAGTTACAGCTTGAGTTGTGTGACTTGATGTGAAAGGTTGCACATGGAATTGTCCTTACATGCCAGACTTTAAGACTGAGCCATAAGCATGAGAAGAAGACTGAAAATTACATACTTTTAAAGTCTTGCTTTTGTAATTTTTGGTTTTAGTATTTGAGAAAATGTGTCAGTAACTCCAGTTTTCTTATGTTTATTACTTTAAAACCTGATACTATATTGCAGAGATTACCATTTAATAGGGAATTTAGAGTAATTTTCATGAGTTTAAATTGATTTCTTTTGAAGACAGTGCCTATAACTAAGAACCTTTGTTTGTAGAGATGTTGCAAAAGAACATGAATAAAGCATAAAAATCGGTCTGTCTGTAGATTTCTTTATTTGATAACCAAGATATTTTGAAATTACTTTTATAGTAGAAGTGATGTAGATAGCATAGGAGTGCACAGGATGAAACAAAAGATTTTAATGACAGCAGCAATAAAGAAGACTTTATAGAGTGATAAAACAACATTTTTCTGGTGTGATTCTTGATGATACTAATGCACTTGCTAGTACTTTTCAGGAATTTGAGGTAATGTTTTAAGAAGTGATGCTAGGTCTATGTTATGTGTTGTGCATTTATATATACACTAGAGTATTACGTGACATACATACTTACTCCTGCATTTATCTTTCAAGGCAGCCGAAAACACTCGGAGTGATACAAGTGTCTCATCAGGGGAAGCAAGCAAAAGAAGTATTCATTTTCTGCCTAATGAAACAAAATTAGATCCTCAACTAGAAAACAAAGACTTGAATACCAAAGAAAAAAGTGATCCACTTGTGGATGAAGATGATGTAGTGGGAGATTCTTTCTTTGATGACCCTGTACCCAAACCAGAAAGAACTTACGGCTGGTAAGTAACATGGATGTTCTTCTTAATACATGGTTTATTTTGTCCTCTGTATGCTTTCAGACCTTTGAAAGCTTAGATTTTGTTCTATTCCATGATTCTATTCTGTTCTATGCACAGTGTCCTCTGGGATCTCTTGGATGTAGTATGAGTGGAAAAACCTGTATCACTTTAAGGTGCTTCAGTTAGGGTTTCTAATGTCCCCAGCCTGTTTCTTTGGTGGAATGAAAATGTATGAGGCACAGACATCAGTGTTTCTTCTTGCAACAGAGCTGCAGTGGTGATCTGTACTAAAGGAATTGGACAGTGACTGGGACAGTGAATTAAATATTGGTACAGCTTTGTAAGGAATACAAAAAACACTGTAAAGAGGCTCCACAGACTGTAATAATAAGGAAAGTTTCCTTACAGCAGAGGATTTTCTCTTTACATTGCAACACCTTTTGTGTTTTCAGTGAATTGTTACTTCTGCATGTGCCAATTTTGCAGGTGCATGCAAAGCACATTTTTTATTGTTCATCTGTAGAGTCGGATGACTGAAAAATGCCATTTGAAACAAGAACTAGTGACTGAACTATACAGCACCTTTGTTATGAAACTGAAAATGTTATCTTTGTGTTGTCACGTTGAGTTATCTTGAAGCCCAGCTTAGATACCACTGTATTGAGCAATGCTGCAGGATCATTTCATGGTGTTCTTTTGCTGTGCTCAAGTAATCAGAGAATTGTTCCAGCTTAGCAGACATTAAGAAGAGGTTGCAGGATCATTTCTAAGTTGGTTTGGCAGTTTACTTTTCCCCCGCTATGCTGATAGTGGTCAGAGCAGCATAAGAATTTTGTATTACTGCTCCAGTAGATGCTTAGTCTTAGAATAGGATCCTTCTGATAGAGCACAAAGTAATTGTGCCAGGTTAATGGACTCTTTGTGAATGATTATTTATAATACAGTTTTTGTTGGATGTTTTTAATTGGAGTGGACTTTTTTTTTCCTCAAAGAGCAGTGGTTGTACTCTGGAAAATATTCTGTGTTACAACTAACCCTACTGTAGTATTTATTTTCTCATTGTTAATATCAAGATTAAAACTGCATCTGAATGCATTTACTCCTCCTTACTCGAGAGCTTGTTTAGCCTTTAACCAAAGTAACCATTGTTGCAGGTAGTCTAAATGGTAAGTTGGGTAAATTAGAAAAGTCCATAAAAACTTTTGCATAATATAACAATAATGATAATAATAATAATAACAACAACAACATTTTTTTAGCATTTTCATGTGACAGCAAGGGAAGTTTTCTTTGAAACTGGGTAAACTAGATTTCTTCTAAAAGACAATCCAAAAAACAGACTAATTATTTAGTAAAATAAGGATTTGTTTTCCTAGTAGAGAAACTCCCTACAGAAAAAATTGCTTCCAGATTATGTCTGTCTGTAGTAGAGTCACAGTCCACAAGTAGTATTTTGTAGCACATAATGTTACTGTGATGCAGCTATTCTAGTAACATCCCCTAATAAGGTGTGCTGAATGTGTTACCAACAAATGAGCTAGAATTTGTAGTTGAGCTGTGTGTGCTGACTTACTTGTTTTTGCCTTCCTGACAACTCTTCTAGAGGGCAAAAAGCCCCCATATTCTTCATACAGAATCCCCTCTGTGGGACTTTATGCTGTTATGCTGGAGTCCCAAGGGGTAAATAAGCCGGACCACTGCCAGCATTGCTTTCTTTGCAACAAGGTAATTTCCTTATGGAAATCTTGCCCGTTCATTTTAGATGGGTTCAGAGCAAGCAGTTGCTAATGGCAGTGTGAGAGATGATCCAGGCACTTACTATCTCTAGGTCTCTGACCCCTTGTTCAAAATTTTGAAGCACTTTAATAACGTGTAATGTTACACATGATATTTTGGTGATCTGGATATGATGAGTGAGTAAATTATGCCCATTATTAATAGGAATGGAGTCAAAATAGCAAAAAGTTCTGGCAATACTAAATGTGAAAATCTTGGTTTCTTTTAATTTATGTTTATTCATCCTTTATTTGCAAGTTCAAATCCTTTTGAACTAGGTAGCAGCCAAATGGACTTTAACATGTGGTGAGATCTATCTTCCTATAACCAAGAGGTTTCTGTTCTGTGAAATGACTGCTCGTAGAATTAATAGCTTCATCTGATGTAATTTCTTTAAGATGTAAAACAAACTGAAGTACTGATTTATGTCTGAATCTTTTTTCTTTTGGATGCATTTACATGTAGGGATGATGAAAGGTCCCTAGGCATAAATAGTGATGCTGATGAAGGTGCTCTGTCTGTGGGAGAAGATAGGTGGAAGTCTTTGCATGGATGAGAAAGTGGCTTTCTCAGTCAGTGTTGTGGTTGAGACTTGTGCCAGTGAACTGCCTACTCCTTTTAAAGTTGCAGAGTGAATAGACCTTTTCCTTGCTCTTTTTTGCTGTAGTATTGCTGTTTTAGTTTTATGAAAATTTAATAACAGAAAATAAAGTAATGATGCATATTTTACAGCTGTTATTGGAAGTGGAGTACTTATTTATTTGGTTTTTACAGGAAAAGTGAGGCTAATAAAGCAGGAAGTCTATCATCCCTTTCTGATGCACCGGCTCTAAAAAGTGGGTTAAGCTCCCTGACTGGTGCACCTTTGCTAAAGGAGTCTGATAGTAAGTTTTCATAATTTTTTTGTGTTTTGATGATTGTAGAAGTTATTTCTGTACACATTTAGATGGAAAAATGATAGCATATATGGCCCCCTTCTGGTTGTGCTTTACAGTAGTACTTTCTCTAGTGAGTGATGGCATACTGATGGTTTGGATATATTGTGGTACCACTGGGGCATTTTATGCTTTGGAGCATGAAATACTTATCTACATCGCTTTTTTTTTTGTCTGTGTATAAAGGAGTATATAATTCTACTGCTCAGTTTTAAACTGAAATTGGCTTATTCCTTTGTATTATCTTAAATTATTTGTACCAATTCTTTAGTGGTGTTTGCTTTCATCTTGTAAATCCCTGAGAAGTGTGAGATTATTCCTGTTTACTCCTCAAGCTTTTAAATGTTATCAGAGTTCAACTGTGAAAATATAATATGGTATTGCTGTACTATGCTATAAAAGTGCACAAGGTTGATATAAAAGAACAGGTGTTATAAATGGTTAGTTTGTATGTGTAAGTGGGATCTTACTAATGAGTGACAAGTCCAGTTTTTGATAGAAGTGCTTTTGTTTACAGATTTGGATAGAAACTCTGTTTTAAAAGACCTGCGGTTGGTGAATGCAAAGCTGGGATCACTAGAATTAGGCAAGTAACTGCTAAACATTAGGAAGCTCTGATATTTTTCATTGGCCATAACTGAAAAATTCTGGCCTAGCTTCTTAAAGGAATCTGAGAAGCTCAAATACACATATTGAACTTCAGGATTTACTTACAGTATTGTGTTTAACATAGATTGTGAAGCTTAATATGGTTAAAAGCAAGATGTTATCTTAAGAAATCCAGAAAAGTGAAAACCTGGTGTCGTGTGTGTTAATATTTTACACATGGAGCAAAAATTGTATTCATTCTGTGCATACATTTACTAATACCAAGTGATGAATTTTGTTGTTGAGGTTTTTACAAAAAGAGCGGGTTTATATTTTTGGTAAAAGATAGCCTGGTAAGTATTGTTGCTTTTCAGTGGCATATTTAGTGGCCCTCCGCACCTTTGAAAGTTGCCTTTCTTTTGGTACAATATGAAGAAGGTGTGATGGAAGCATTCTCTCAAAATAGAGCTGTCTAGTATTTTAGTATTTAGTATTTTAGTATTTATGTTATGGCAAACATAACGCATCTTCCTAATCAGTGCAAGCAATTTAATCTACTCCCACTTTTGCTGGTCATCAAAACATGTATTTTGATGCATTGGGGGATTTTGTGTTTCCTGAAGAGAAAACTTGTTTGATTAATAGCTTTTAAATCTTATTTAGGAAATGAAGATGATGATGAATATGCTGATGACTTCAACAGGTAAGAGAAGGATGATTCGTCAGTAGGGTAGTATTTATGCAGTATAAGCATATCCACTAGCATATTTGAATTGTTTCGTAACACGGTCACTATCACTGAGATCTGTCAGTATTTCTGACCCCCTTTTAACTTCAGTTTGCTATTTTAATAGATTAATTATCAGTTAAAAAACAACAAAACAACATCTCTTTTTGTATAGGGATAATGAGTTCCTTAAAAACTTACTGCTAGTGTCAGCATGATACTATGTTGGGGGTTTTTTGGAAGGGGTTTGAGGTTTGTTTTTTCTTCCTGAACCATGCATTTAAAAATGTTTTAGCAATTAATGCAGTTAGTCAATAATTATGTTGTATGCTGAGATATTTAATTGTAAAATCAGGTATCATGAGTAGTTGGTAATAAATATTTAACAACCTCATGCTTATGATGTGAAGGTATTGGTGTTGTAAATTGCATGATCGAGGCCTAAGTATTTCTCAGCATTTATTATGGCTTCGTTTAGGTAGAAAGCCTTTAGTTGTTATGAAATTTAAAGTAACTTCACATCTAATTTGCTAGGAAGTGCAATTCCAATCAAATGTCAGGTATAAAGTAAATGTCATACCTAGATGTTTGATAAGGAAGTCTTATTTCTGTGCTTATGGTTTTCTTTCTTTTTAGTACGAGTCATCGCTCGGAAAAAAGTGACATCAGTATCGGTGAAGAAATAGATGAAATTTCTGTGGGAACAGAAGAGTCAAATGCCAGTGATAAAGTATGATTATTTTTAAATTGTTAGTTTTTATATTCTTCTGATCTTGTCTTGACTTTTTTTCCAACCTGCTGTGAAGTAACATGCTGTTACCCTTAGTTCCTAGGTTGTATGTTAAGGTCTATTATTCGTTACATTCTAGTTTTTACACCTAGTATCCTTGCTAAGTTAGGTGCTATATTGATTAACAAAATCACAACAAAACAAAAACCTTGCAACAGTTGTTCAGTAGTACAACTCACTGTGCCTTTCTAGGTGTGTAAAATGTATTTGAACCTTGTTCAGTGTCCAGCATACAAGGGTTTATCCCAGTGTCTCAAGATCTGTCTGGTACCTTGTAAAGGATTGTGTAATCTCGCTGAAAGAGCTTAAGGCCAAAAGGTGTATGAAAGCACATGAAGGAATGCATGACATAATACTGTTTTTGTGATCTCTGAGTTTACAATTTTATTTCTTTTCTAGCTCGAAAGCATCACACAAGACCTTACCATTTCTCAGTTAAGCGACGTTGCAGATTATCTAGAAGATGTGGCATAGAATTGGACAGCAAAAATCTTTCGTTGTGCTGGACTAGAAGACTGCTGTGGACTATTAATTTCAGACAATCACCTTTTGCTGGAATGTCCACTCCCTATTTGTGCCTTGTGTTTTAAAAATACTGTAGGTGAAGAAGATTTTAAAATATTCTGAACAAGAACTAGACTAGATAGTGTGTTCCCATTTGAGTATGATACCAGAATTACTTTCTTCGGTTGATTCAGCCAAACCTTTCACAGAAGGAGGTGGATTTTCCAAGCAGAATGTCCATTGCTGGCAGTGGACATAATAAAAACCAATTGATAAGAGAACATTGAGAAAGCGGCATGTGGCTTTATCGTGAACTTGCACTGTTATTTTAACAGTCAGATTTTTTTTAAAGATAACCAAAGCAAGAACCTTCAACTCACACTTCTTTTAACACAACCATGTCAAGTCAGCATGTAGTCCATATTTATGGTAACTATAGCCACAATACCTAATTACTCCAGACTTACTTGAAACTGCTCTTTTACAGACTCCTCTGAAAGTTGGACTTTACCTTTTTTAAAAGCATGTTAAATTGAGAGTATCTAAACTCTTAAACCTAAATTTAGCTATATTTAGGAGCTAAATTTAGCACTAGTCTTAACCCAGAATATTCTTGTTTAAATATGTTTGTCAAACCATTGATGTTAAGACCTAAGCTGTTTCTATATACGATCATTTCATCAATGTTATCTGTTGTTAAATCATGAAAAGTAATTTTGTAATGATTCACAAATCAGTAACTAAGTCTTATGGGGTAAGTTTTTAACAGTGTGAGATACTTAGTGGAGCTTTTATTTTTGAGGATTCTTCATGTGCTGTAAGATCACTTTTATTCTTGGAAATATTTTAAGTAAAAATGAGCACCAAAAAGTGAAACTACAAAACTTCTGCTTTTCAGATTCTGACTGCTGTACAAAGTTCAATGCAAATATTTAAAAATGCCATACTGAAGACATTATGGACACTAAGTGCTAGCTAAGAGCAAATTCTTGTATTTTCATGATGCTCTTGCAGAACAGGGTCAGTCATGGCAAGGTTGACAGTTCTTCAATGATACTGTTGCAAGTGGCACTGCTGTAATGTGTAGGTCATTCGTAATGGACAAATTTGGACATTTGTAATACTGAAACAAGACTTCAAAATGTGCACTTTCTGAACATTGTGAACACATCTGGATAACAGACATGTAAGTGAATATAAATAATTTTATTTTTAACTTCATTTTCTTTTTTTTGAGGATTTGTAATTTTCTTTTTCAGGAACACTGTTGGCCTGTCATCAGTAGTCACCATAGTGGAAGTAGCATGCTAAACTAAAGCCATTGGTTAAGCATATAAAGATACTACTATCACTAGAAGCTGACTTAAATATTTTTTTGCACTGGTCCAGCAGGCCTGGAGCAGTGCTGGGAAGTTAGGCTTGTATGAATGATTTGAGAGGAGACAGCAAAAGTGTGCCTTTTATTTATGTGCACCCCAAAAATAGCCAGCAAAAAAGCATCAGAGTATTTAGTTATGGTGTTAACGTTTCACTTTGTGCCATATTGTAGCAACTGAACACAGAGGAGAATTTTTTTCACCCCAGGAAGTCAATATGCCATAACTTCAAATAGGAACAATGCTGTAACATATGATATAGCATGTGTAAAAAATTTGTCTGAGGGTAGGGGAACCTGTGCCTCAAGACAATGTATATGGAAAAGTTTGGATTGGACTTTTTTCCATTCTTTTTTCCTTTATTTTTTCTTAAGAATAGTATCAGCATGTCTGAAGGAAATAAAATTTCACATGAACAGTTGCTTTTGGCATGCATTTTTAAGGTGTATGGAATAATTTAGAGGCAGTGTTGTTTGCTTTCTTACATGCCTTGGGAAAACATGATGTTCCATTACCTGTTAGCTGTAGGATATGTGGCAATTTATCATACCAAAAGAAACCAAAAGTTTATTAAAATACTGCTAATTGCATTTGAAGATGTGGCCTTTTCATTAACTAATTATATATTTTAAGTGTTAACATGACTTGTGTTAACAGCTAAGTATTGTTCTTACCTTGGGAATTAGTTGGAGACCTTGCACTTTGGCTCTAATTGAAGGAAATACCAAAAAGTGGTACATCTCCATGCTGTTCCTCCTGTGAACTTTTACTGAATTGTGTATAATAATTCAAATTGTAAAATAAAGCTATTGTGCTGGCTAAATTATCTTTTGAGACTTGTTGAACCAGAAATCTTAACATTTAAATAATTTAAGGAAGCTCTATGGGATTTGAGGGGTTTTTATGAAAAATACTTTTTTTATAGTCCAGTCTTCAATTGAGAATTCTTTTAAGCCCAAAGGATCTTGCAATTCCTGATGATGAATCTGGTTTAGTTGTGACAGAATTATATTACTGGTATCAGCCTAAGTTGTCAGATGGTTTATGATTCAACAAAAGAAAGAAACCCAACAATCTTGATTGGGAAAATTTTGTCTCATTTACCACTGTTAGAGGTATTTGAACATAAGTGACAAGTTAAACTCTCTTGAATGGTTGTTTCACTGTATATTTCAAAACATATTGATTAGTATTTCACATAGGCTTCTCCCAGAAGGACCAATGTAGTTGAGTACCTCACTCAAATGTTAGAATTGACAACCAGAGCCCTGTAATAAAAAGATGGGAACATTTCTGTGAGCAGAGAAGCAAGTGTTGGAGAGGGACACTGGTGACTGCTCTCTGCAGTTCTGTATCAACTAGGTCTGGTTAGAAATACTCTATTTTGTTAAAGGCTCTCTGTAATTTTTTTAATAAATTCCGTGGTTTTTTAGAAGTAAAAACTAGACTGACTGACAGTTTCATAACATTAACATGGCTCTTGTAATAAGACTGGATTATAAAAATGATACCTCTCTTTTAAATTTCTTTTTGCAAAATTGCTACATTCCATCTCTTTTTAAGTTAAATGGGAAACCACAGCACATCTCATAAAATATTTTCTTGTAAGTGATGCTTTCTGCAGATATTATAACATCACTATCAATTTTAGACTGTTTTGACAACATACAGACACTACACCTAGCTCTTGAGACAACTGAAATACCTGATTAGATGATGCTGGTAAAGATGGGGTTTACTAGTTCATTTTCATTTTAGTATAGTCGTTTTCACTGATGAAATACTGTCAACAAAGACCAGCCTTCTCCTCAGGAAGAAAAATTCATCCATGGGTAGAACTTTGTGGCAGATGCATGTTTTTTGGCAGGCCCTTTAGTTTGATATTTTCTTTGTAAGGCAGAGCCAAAAGAAATTCAACTGAATTGCAAGAGGTGCAGTTCTAGTGGGTTTGTAAGTGATGTTACTCATACTGAAGCTAAATCCTCTAAGGCTAGTTGCCAGAATCTCCCAAAGCATTTTTGTAGCCAATTTGTGGACAGATAGCCTGGATAAAAAGCAACTTTGCAGAAAAGAGCCTGGAGGAAGCTTTGAAGAATGAAAGCCTGGAAGTGTGGGTCAGAGTGCAGGCTGAGGGAAGTGGTTACTTCCCCTTCCTTGTGAGGTCACTACCTGCAGTGTTGTGTTTAGCTTGGCTCCCCCAGTACAAGAGTTCTAGGCATGGATTTTTTTTTTCCTGTTATTGCCACAAAATAGAGCCTGGTACAGGATCTTAGAGGATGGTGGTGGGGCTGGGGTATGTGATCCATGAAGAGCTGAGACTGTTCTGCCTCTAGAAGAGAAGGTAAAGATGGGTGGCTAAACTGAACTTCCATGCTTACAGTGGACCAATTGGAAAACAGACCTGTACTCTTCCTACAGGTGCCCAGTAAAAGGACAACAATCTGCAGTGAGAGGAATTCCAGTTGCATACATGAAATAAAATCTAAAGAATCACCATGCAAATGGTCCAGGATTTAGAGCAGATACCCAGAGAGATTGTGAAGTCTCCATCACTGGAAAATTTCTAAACTCAGACTCAGAGCCACCTGCTATATCTTTGAAGTTAGGTCTGCTTTGAGTAGCAGGCTTGACCTCCACCAAACCCTTTCCACTTAGATTATTACATGATTTGAGGGAAACAGACCTCTGTATGGAAAACTGGTTATTACGGGGATAGACAAATCATTTGGCTGCCTCTGTGCATGCAAACCATCCTGTTTGTAGGTAGAAATAGTTTTGCTGCAGTTTATCAGTGCAGGTGTTTACATTCATGCTAACTGTCCCATGGAGAAAGGCCATTTGCAATTACAGTCATTTAACATTGGCACTACTGTAAGGGTTTAAATCTTATGTCCTTGAAGAAATCTTTTAGGAAACATGAACTTGGAACATAATTGAATAGTGTGCTGTGTGAATAACTGCATCTGATCCTTACACTTGGATCTAAGTTTAAAAACAAAGCATAAGGTTTTTAGAAGTTTTTCAGTTTCTTAAGAGCTTTAAGTTTTTTGTTTCAATTGCTCTGTGCAATAGGGAAATCACAATAGACACAAGGTAGTAAAATCAGGTCATTTGTCCTGTTCCCCTGTAAAAGTGTCACATGTGCTTTCATAGCAAGAAACTGCTTCAGGTTTTTTTGTTGTTTTTTTTCTCTGGAATGGAAAATTTTTCACCTTGTGCTCACAACATGGTCTGTTTTGGCTGACAGGTGTCCTTCAGGCCATGCTGCAAGGGAAACTATTGGGAAAAGGCTGGCATGTAGCAGAGCAGTGTTTCCAGATGCATTTTTGGCTTAGGTGATTGTGGCGGACTTGCTTTTAAACTGGTGTTCCCATCATGTTTCAGACATGTAATTCTGGTTTGTGTTAGTTTATGTGATTAAAAGCTCAGCTCCACAAATGGAAAGCAGACCAAAGAGGTAACTTGTGTAGGTGCATCTGCCACTGCTGGGGGCTGCTGTGATCCAGCAGCTCCTCTCCTGAGGTGCAGGCCTGTGAGGCTCAGCACACTGGAGCCACCCACATCAGCAAGCCCTCAGAACCTGCAGACAACAAGCCTCCTGTGCGGGGGGCAGGGGATTAAGGCTCAGTTCTTGTAAGCACAGAGGAGCAAGGACAAGGGGAAGCCTAATACTGAACTGGAGCTCTTGAAGCTGAACTCCCTTTCTATTTCCTGAGCCATGTCAGGAGACATGCCCCCAGGCAAGATCTTGGGTCACCTCATGGGCTTATTGACCTACAGACACATGGGCTGATGGGATGTTGGAGAAGACTATTTGGACCATGCATAAATCCTGTTCTGAGATATTTAGACCCAGAACCAGAAGGGGAGAAAGGGAGGGGTCATGGTTGTTTGGAGGAACAAGCATGGGCAGAGAGAGAAGGGGGCAGTTGTGGGCAAACAGGCTGCTGCACAGCAGTGTGTCTGGCTGTGCCTACCCCTCATAGCACTGTCTGCTCTCCCTGAAAATTCTTTCCAGTCCTTTCTAAATATGAATAAAATACTTAAAACTGCCTTAAGTAGGGCCTGTGGATAAATTTGGGATGAATTTAGACAAACTCTAAAAGCATACATTTCCTTGAAAGCAATGTGATACTTGGCTACGAAGAAACGTTAGACAAAGATTGGGTTTTGCAAAATTATTCTGGCAGCCTTTATAAGAAAAGCACCTTTATGGTGTTAAGTACCTGACATCCTGACTGATATTTTCTTCATCTCCTTTGAACTGCGAAGTAAGAGGTCTGTGCTCTGTTCATTAAAAGGAAATTGATAAAATTGAAAGATAAGTAGTTCAAAGCATTCCAAGCAAGATGAAATTGCAAAATGTATTCCAATTCCAAAGCCAAGATGAAATTGCAAAATGTAGGTTCTGGGTTTCAGAGACTAAAGCAATCCTGAAGGTGAGAATTACGTACACTTAAACTTCATAATTTAACATGTATTCATGGGAGAAATATGAAATTTAAAGTAATTCTTAGGGAATAAATTGTAGATTTAAGTAATAGGCTCTGTCATTAAAAAGCAACACAAACATACACCAGCTATTGTTAACTGTAGCAGTGCAAAACTGGTGTTTGTCAGTTACACTCACTCAGTAGACTAATGTTAATTAAGCCCTAGTGAAATTTGAAATTAGACATCATAACAGAAATTATTGACTGTACAAGAAGGTTTGAATTTTGAGCAGGTTTTGGCAGTGCAGGTCTCTTTAAAGTGTGGTCACAGATTTGGGGAGGTACTGATGATCTCAGAGAAGAAGTGGACAAATTCTCATGGTCTTCTTCCATGAAAGATAAATTAAAATTAATTAATACTGTCATGAGTTTCTGGTTTCAATGAATGTGTGCTAATTTGATGGCACTTGATTTGAAGGAGCTGGAAGTGCCAGTCAAACAAATGCATTGGGATAATAAGCGTAATCCAGCCTGGAAGAGAGATTAGGATACACTAGTGTGATGTTAATGCATAGGAGCTCTTCTGCACTGATTTCTTGCATGTGTGCTTTTGCACTAAATATCAAAATGTATTAAGAAAAACTGTGGAAAAATTAAAAGGAACCCAGAGAGGCACAAAAATATATGCAGAAACCAGTGCCAAGTACCACTTTGAAAGTAGCCGAGTCAATCAAGCTTGTACAAAGATGATTAAATCAAGCACATGCACATGCATTGAGACTAACCCAAAGAACAATGACGCTGAGAAGGCAATGGGTGGTAGCAGAGAGCAAGTTATGTAAAACTGACACAGTAAGAGTGCTGGCAGCCACACAAGAGCTGTGGTTTGGTGCAGGAAACTCCCTTTGCACTGACAAGGGATGATTGAGGCTGTGCTCCCTTCCCTGGGGCATGTGGATGTGTTCTTGATGGTGAAGCAGATACCAAGCTGAGCAGTTTAGAGCAGGGAGAAGCAGGTGCAAGGATTGAGTTTAAAAATCTGAAGAAATAACTGCATCATATTAGAGATTAACCATGAGGAGCACTCTGGTTTTGAACCAAGAGGTCATAATCCCATTTGTAAACAAAAATTCAGAAGGTGGACATTAGTTTTGGCTGTGGTCTGGTGTTATTGGGAATGAGCTAGAAAATTGGGAAAAGCTGAGAAGATGCGTGGCTGTAGCAGCTCATATAGACTACATGATCTCACAGCTCTGCCCCACAGTTTTTTGTCACAGAAATGCCTCATAATGCTACTGCTCTAGCAGTACAAGCCATGTAAAGAGCCTGTGAAACGCATTTTTCGGGGCAGTGACTCTCCTGTCTTGCATTCATGGTGGGAGCAGAGCCACCGAGGTTCTCTTCTTGTGGCACAGCCCGTTCCCCACCACGGCCCCACCCCACCTGGGGCTTCAGCTCGAGTGCGATTCACAGAAGTGCCCAAGGGAGGAGGCTGTTCATCTCTTTCTATGTCTTCCTTTGCTGAAGAGCAGCTCTTAAGGTCTGGTTCAGGCTTAGAGCCATGTGGAAGCTAAAAAGCATGTGAGTTAGAGAGCAGTGCAGCCCATTCAAGACTCAGTCTGGACCCGGCATTGACCATTCCCACTCCTTCAGACTTTGAAGCAAAGGGTTGGGTCTGTGCAGTACAGCTACAGACCTCAAAGAAAAATGGGGTCACAAATGTAGGCCAATTGCCCATGCTTCACGGAACAGGAAATCTTGCAGAACAGCCTTTTTCTTTTACTCATCTCTCAATGTAGTTAGAATTTTTTTAAAATGTATGCATCCTGACTCGTGCTGTTGTATAATGAAAAGGTCTGTTCGTAATGGGAAGCAAACTGAACACTGTCCAGTTTTGTGGTCTTTGACAATAAATAGCATCCATACATTTTCTTGTCACTACTGGTTTTTTATATAGATTACCTGTTTTTTATGTGTGTGTGTGTGTGTGTGGTAGAGTCAACTTCTGCTAATGAGTCATTTTATATTTACTTGATCCTCTTGTCCTTGACGGGTTAGGGAGGGGAATTGAAACAAACTTTTAACAGGAAAGAACATAAAATAGATAATTCAAATCAATCAAACCTAATTTCTTGGAATTTATTTTCTCCCTCCTTGGTTCCAACAGTATAGGAGAGAAGTTGAGCTGTGACAAGCTAATCATATAGCTAAATAGATCACAGAGCTACATAGATTTGTTGCTTGAGAATTGCTGCCCTTTTCTCCCCTGGTTTTTGTTCTTAACGTGAGGGTTTAATCTAAAACCACAGCAGTCTCTTGTTAGCTACCAGCCTGGGGCACACAGTTACTTGGAATGATTGTTAGTGACCTGCGTGCTTTATTTTTAGTAAATATGATATTTAAGAGAATTTAAAGTTCCATCTCAAGATGTGGCAGTGCAGAAAAGTCTCAGGGATATAGAATTTCCCAACGCTTTGGGGAAGACAGAATTTTTGCCACTTTGCCACAGGTATTGGCCACCAATGCAAGGTGCTGAGAGGACGGTCCCCACTGACCATTTGTCTGGAAAGAGGCAGTGTCTTCTCTATGCACAAGGTTGCACTGGGAAGTGGAATTTAATATTATGTTAAACCTACTGAAGTGAATAAACGTAGGGATGCTGATGTGTCCTATGGACCTCTAGCTGCAGAAAAGTGCATATATAGATAAAACTGCACAAGCACAAATTTGATCTAGTCTCAGGCACAGAAAGGATTAAGGACAGTTGAGGATCTTCTGCTGTATATTTGGGGTTGGAACGGGCAGTGGTGAGGCAGTGTGGGACCAGTACTAAAGTCCTGGTAGAGCATGGTGCGGCACTCTCCAGCTCTGTAATGCAGAACATTCCTCACTTCCAGATTTGCACTGTGGTCGTGAAGCCTGTCAAACTGGGAACTGTGCCACTCTAAGCACAGCACAGGTAACCACAAGATGGTTACTTAAAAAATCCTGTGACTGATTGGGGTGTGAGGAGATGGCAACACTGTTGCTTGGAAGGAAACAAAACCTACTCTGGTGTTGATCTGAGCTGTTAGAGCAAGTCAGAGGGGAGAAAGAGACAACAGGCTCTCAATGTGAGTAAAGAAAATTCAACACAGTTCTGCATGTTGGGAGGGAGCCCCACTAATATATTTGCTGGTCTTCCAGGGACCTGGAAGAAAACTCCTGGATTGCCTTCAAATCAAGAAGATTTGGTGTTCCCCTTAGGAACACTGTATAGCTCCTGAACAGCTCGACAATGGAGGCTGCAATTTTGGTGGTGCATTAAAGCTGCTGTGTAGTGAGAAGAGATTCTGGAACCAGGCAGACTGAGAGGCTGAACTTTCAGGAGGGGCTGTGAGGCAGAATTGGGCATGCCAGAAATGTGCTTAAGTATCTTTGTGCAGGGGCTGTGCTTCAGTCTGATGTTCAGAGAATTGGTGTGGTATAGGGACAGAAGATCTCCTTCTTGGGAAAGCAGGCTGGCAATGGACCCATGAAAAAGCTGCTGTTGAGAGAGACTTCAAAGTCTCGCTGTGAATTGGATGCTACTGTACTCTAACACAGACTGAAAACCACCTTGGGCCTTGCAGAATTGCAGAAAGAGAGAAGATGAAAGGCTTTTAGAGTAGGATGTTGTCACTTCAGATATAAGCAGATAAAGTTGTAAGCAATCAGAAATCTCTGTATGTATAACTATTAAAATACACAAGTCTAATATTTTCCAATTATTCTGGTATTTTCTAATTATTAGAATAATAAGATTTTAACTTCATTAAAAATTCTCTTAAGCCCTCTGCAAAAAAAAGCACCCTTAGTTCATAGGTTATAGAAAATGGAACTCTAGCAGTTTCTTTCTTCTTTATTCAAACAGCAGCTTTTTAATTAACTTCTTTTCTTTTAAAAAGAAAACCTTGTGCTACCTTCAGTAAGGAGGCATCTACCCCAGCAGAAGCTCAAAATTAACTTTTAACCATGAAACTTCTGTTGCTTTTAAAAATGTTTCAGTCTAATATTGTCTTGCCTTTAACAGTCTTTGTTGCACTCAGCAGTGATGGAAAAGGAAAATTAATGTAAAGTTATTTCTAAATCATAAAAAAGCTTCAGGGAGAGCTACAAAGCACTGACTCTTTCCACCCACCTCTTGTCTCACACTGGACCAGTGTCACATTCACCCTCCATTCCACTTAACCAGACAAAGTGGCTGCATTTGAGAGCTTCATTTTGTGCTCAAGGCCTTCTCTCCAGCTACTGGCATGGCCTCTCTCTCACCCTCTTGCACTCTTACCAGCCTCTTACATAAGAAATGTCTACCTGAGTACTGAAACTTTGCAACTGGTTCAGATAATCAAGAAATTACAAATTACTGTTGCAATACCATCTCTTAACAAGAATTTGGGGTTTGAGTCATTAATCCTGCTATTGCTTCCACTTCTGTCGGGCTGAGGTAACTTCAGAATTCTGAGGTGTCACTCATGGTTATCAGGCAGTAGCATCTGAACCCCAGAGGACACAAATCTAGTAATTACAGGGTAGCTTCTTTCATAGTTTCTCTTCAGTAGTACAATTCAGTGAGGCATCACAGTGCAAGCATTTTTGTTGCATTTGTTTGTATCAGATTCTTTAAGACACCCCAAAATTATCACTCAAGGATATCCAGAAACCTTCTGACTGAGCTCAACAAGTAGGAATCCATTGTTTTCTCTGACACAGCTGAGGCATAAGGTGCTCATCTCATAAAATCACTGGGAAAAGTGTAGCAAAATTCCCATATTGGTAAAAGCTCCTTGCCTGTTTTAGCCCCACTGAAGTATTAACGGGAAGGATCCTTTGATAAGGACACAAGTCAGCCTAAACCAGAGGTGGTGTGGATCAGGTTGGTCAGACAGGCCTGGAAGCATTTGAAGTAGAAGAAACACCTCTGGTCCTGCTGTCTACATTTGCTGTGGCATGACATCTTTCTCTTTTCCAGCCATGAAGGCTGAAACCCTGATGACAGAGAAGCAGATTTTTTGTCCATCTTCACAAAAGACAGTAAGTAAAATTTGCATCATGTAACACTTGTATAGGCCAAAAAGGAAAAAGGAAAATAACCCCCTGGATGCATCCTGGCTGACAGTAGGCTGCTGTGTTAATTTGGAGGAACACACCCACTGTGGAGCTGGGTGATGAACATATCTTCAGATATGTTTATCATATTATGATGAACATATCATATAGTGAATATAATACTCACTGCCTGGTTTGGCAGTGAATGCCAGTCTTGATGCCAGAGTATTATTTTTCAGTTGGTCTTCCTGAAGGATGGGCTGCTCTGTGTCATCTACAGCAGGGTGACCTAGGCATGACTGGCACACCTGACACATCATATCCTGCCAGGAAGACATAATTTTCTCTCTCACACAATCTGTGTGAGAATTAGGGGACCCTTTCCAGACTTTATATGTCACTGTGGGTTAGTGTGAACAAACTTCACCCACGTGGGTGAGACCTTGCCTCTTGGTTGCATACGGGAGTGACAATTCTCACCAAGAACTCTTGTTCCACAAGCACAGGGAGCAAGTTAAGCAAGACCCAACCATATTTAGGATCAAGGTCTGAGGTCCTCTTGTTGGTTTTTGGCTGATCCCAGAAAGAGTTGGTTTGCTAAACAGGGGGGAAATTCCTCACTTTAAAATCCCCAAACAACAAACCAACAAAACACAGTATAAAACAGCAAAGAAAGATAATGATCACTTTTCTTTTTCTGTTGTTTTGCCAAACTAAGACAGAAACCAGGAATGAAAGGCAGGTGCCAGAGGCCAGGAGAAAGTGTCTGTGGTAGCTGATATGTTGGCCCATCTGCTGTTTTAAACCAGACTGAAAAACACCTTTGAGATTAGCCATGCATTTAGAAGTAGGCAGTGATCTAAACACCTCACTAGTGTGAGGCCTTCCCTGGCTCAAGAGGGGCTGAAGAGTCAGTGCTGCAGTGTTAAATGCAGTGCAGTGGTTAGCTGTGGGTGTGTTGACCCTGTGCATTCACACTAATGCTGAGAAATCAAGGAACAGATCACAATCCTCATGTAACCAACACTGCTTTGAGGAGCCGATTACCTTTCTGGATTCCGGTTTTGTATATTTGATACTAAGGTTGTCTGGCAAATGGTTCTTGTGGTGTGTGCTTTGAGAGTCAAGACGCTTAGTCCTGGCACTCTGGATTGAACAGGGAGCAGGTATGCTTGAGACAAATGGACAAAAGGTGCAGAGGAGCAGCACCTTTGCCCCTACAGCTGGTAGCAGGTAGAAGGAAATCACTACCTGAGCCAGGTCTCACTTCAACATTTCAGATCGCAATGGTTAGAGGTGTTTCGGAAGAAACTGAGTTTGGAAATAGCAAAAGGAATATTGTGCTTGTGAAGTAATGAAAGAACAAGAATGCTGTCCCAAATATTGCCAGCTGAGTTGTGATCCTCGCTCCAAACACAGACTGGTGAGGTCAGTTGAAAATGGACAGAAAGAATATTTTGGGGGCAAGAGAAAGAAACATATCTGTCAGATGGTTATCTTTGTAGGATGAAGCAGATAGAGCCAAGAGTTTGTGTAGGACCACAGGGAACATCAATGGGGATCCAGCATCAACAGATTCTCATGAGGGTGTCCCAGTTAGCATTTAGGTGGTGCTTTCTGGAACAGGCACTAAAGCCTCAGAGTAGTGAGAGCCCACTGGGGATGAGTGGTATACCAGTGTAAATTTAGATGCCTGCCAAGCCTTTCTAACAAACTGGAAGATGAAGTGAAGCAGGACGTGGTTAATACCAATTCACTTTTCAAAATCTCAGCAGTAGAGGCAACAAAAACATCCAGGGAATAAAGGACTGTGGGTTGCCAGCTTTCTCCAGTGT